ACTGTGGATATTTTTTAAAGGCTGGGTAAAAACAGCCCTGATCAAGATGCAGTGCAACATTTAAGAAATGCTAGTGTTATTATGTAAATACAAAACATTCTGAATGTTTTTTTTACAGCAAGGTATTTAAATGTCTTAAATAAGCTAACATTCCCAATATATCACTCAGTAAAGTGCAATATAAAAAGTCAGTGTTACAGAATTCTTAGAGCAAATGATTTTCTTTTTCATTGCCTCTTTTATGTTCTTGCCAAAAGACTATACATTGTGCAGTTGTGTGCTTGTAAAATTAAAACTGAATTCCGAAACAAATGCATGAGATGTGCATGATACTGCATTGTACCAGTTAGTACTTCTTTCTTTTTTCATGCTGTTGGCTAATAGTTAAATTTCAGTGTCCTAGTTGTAATTCTGCTGATGGATTCTGCTGTCATATGTATAAGATTTATGCCACATGGGAATGGTTTTTAGGTGCTTTACAGTCACAATGGAGGAGACTGGTGGAGAGAGTGACCTCCCATTTCACACAGTTTGTTAAAATGTTATTTATTTTGTCCTTTTGCTTCTAGGGAAGAGATATACCATATGTTTTAGGTGTTGGATCATTGATATTGTAATGCATGCGGCTGCCTTTGCGGGGTGTTTGAACCGGCTTACCAGTGCGGTGACGTCGCCGCCCTTCCCTGTGAATAGCAGGGACCGGTCAGTGGGCTAGAGAGAGATTTTCCCTTTAGCTCAACTGGCTGGGTCCCTGTTGAGTGACGCTGGAGGCCCGAGTTCAAGTCCCCAGCGGTGGGGGGGCCGACCTGAGGTGGAATCGGTGAGGGTTCACGGTACCCGCGTGAACCCGAGAGCGCTACAATATAATTCTCAATATATTGGCTTCGGTATTCTTAGAACATGGTTCCAAATGAAAGTCCCAGCTTGCCTATTAAGTAGGTTGTAGCTAATTAATCCAAGGATCTCATCCAAGGTAATCCAAGGTTTCTTGAGGGAAACCAATATATAGTCAGAGCAACATGGCTGGGGAGCTTTTTCCATACTCCTACAACTCTTTGTGTAAATAAGTACCTGCTGTTCTCAGGTTTAAATGCACATTGACATACTTTTTAGTGTATGACCTCTTGTGTTTCACTGTCAGTGAAATTCACTTTGTCAGTGAATTTGAGAATTTTGTATCAGGTTCACTTGTTGTCTTACGTTTTCAAGAGTAACAATGGTTCAGTTTCTTTGGTATGTCCATTTAGGTCATTCCTCTAAGACCTGGAATGTAACTGTTAGCTCTTCTTTTAATTTCATTTGGCAGTTTTTGTTGATCTTTCTAATTTGAAACCATCTGCAAAACTAAATTTTTAACTTAAACTAAAATGTAAATCACTTATTTCAGTTAGTTTGAAGAGTGGTCCTAGTTTAGATCCCTGAGGTACTCCACTTATTGTCAACCCAGTTTGAGCATTTACTCTTTATCTGTACTTAAAATGTCATGAATGTGCTTCTACTATTCTTTGTGACATAGTCTAGAGTTTTGGTTTTGTTTCAGACCATAACCTGAATCTGTGTTGGTTGGTATAAGTTGTCTGTTAAGATTGGTATTTACGGGAATGTTGTGATAATGGGCATATTACAGAATTGCGGCTATATTATGAAAGAGACAAAATACTGAATACCATTACACTGCTAAATTTAACAGGTTTGTGGTGCTTGCTAAACAACCGTGTGTCCAGGCTTGGACACATGGCGCTCTGTAGTAGAGCACACTAACGTGAATGTTATTCTTTGGAGTGTTTTGGTGTTTCCAGCAAAAGAGGTTTATTTGTATCTCTGGATCCGTTAATCCAGCACTTGAAACTTTGGTTGTTTGAACTACTGTGATAGATTGTTCTATCCAGGGCTTACTGACCAAACAGTGCAACCCTTGCTTGATGAGACAAACACCGGCTTCCCCATGACCCTGTAATGGATAAAGTGGTTAGAAAATGAATGGGTGGACGGAAACACTCAATAAATGACTTTATTGTTCAGACATGCTGACATTTCATTGCTCTTGCTAGAAGGAAATGAATACAAATATACAAATTATGTTTGTCTAAACGGTTAAGAGGGTAGAGTTTATAATATTGTTAAAGTAAAACAAAATCCTTTTCAGTAATCTGGTATCACAGCTTTGCTAGAAATTCAGTTACTGTGGAAAATACTTTGCCTTAATTACTTTTGACCCAGCAGACACTGTTTAAATTTTTGCTTTTCAGTCATGGTAAGCAGTAAGGGTCACTGAGCTCTTATTTTTATAGCCTTGTTATCCATTTGCATCTCCCTCATAGAGGTGATGTTTGCAGTCGCTATGAGATGATATTCTGGATTTGACAAGAACAGTAATAAAAGACCACATTGAACATGAGAACTGGTGTTGCAGGAAAGTTTTTTGTATTAACATCATAATGTTAATACATAATGAGGTCCTAAAGTTCTGTACATAAAAACTGGAACAAAAAAATAAAAAAGTAGAAAAAAACCTAATACAAATCTTGGCCTTGAAGACAGACAAGTTTCCTGTATCAAAAATTCAAACTTCATAATATACAGTAACTGTGCAATGATATAAACATGGGATAGTTATGAAAGGAATTTTTAAGTCAATTCTGGACCTGTCTGTAATCCAGTAAAGAGGACAACAATTATACATGAGCATAAGACCAGGATTTATTTATTGTTTTTTACTGTTGTTCATGATGTTACAAACATGAGGTTCAAAAGCGAGATTAGGGTCAAAGATAGCCCAAAGATTTTTCATTTTAAAACAACACTTGAATTGTGTATAGCCATGATAAAACAGATTGAGTTACTTTGAAAAAGTGGTGGCCCCTATAACACAACCTCAGTTTTGTCAGCTTTGTCACAATTGGAACTGCAGAAAGTTTGTTGCGTCAGTAATTGATATTGGATATACAGTCATTTTTATCTGAGATACATCATTGCTTAATTTAGTATATACAAATCATCTAGTTTTCTTCAGCATAAAGACTGGATTTCACACCATGACATCTGAGAATTTGGCTGAGGGGAAGTATATATGTTTAAAATTGAACTGGTCCCAGTCTAGACTCCTGGGGGACACCTGAGGAAATCGTTCCAATGACAGACCTAATCTCCGATTCCCCTGATAAAAATGAGATAAGGATAAGATCTGAACCAGCTTAAAGCAGTGCCAGAAATTCTGAACACTCTTTCCTAACCAAGTTAGAAGAATCCTATAATAGACAGGCTGAAGCTCCTGTAGTACTAAAATAAACAGAGCCCCAGACCCAGAGGCCATTAGAATGTCATTCAAGATTTTTGCAAAGGCAGTTGCAGTTCTTTATATATTGTAGGCCAGATTGAAAAAAAACGTTCATTAAATGTAATTCTTGTTAGAGGACTGGTCAACTGCTGTGATGAATTACACTCCAGACTTAAAGCCAAAAGGGCAGATAGGCAATTTGAGATAGGCAATGATTACAATACATTTTTTCACTACTTTTGTAAAAAGAAAGGCCTTTTACAAAGTCTTTCCTGTAAAAGATGGATATATCTTCAATTGGTCCTCAAAGTAATCTAAATCACATGTTACAGGAATTCCTTTAGGACTGGAAAAAAAGGGCAGATGTTTTCAAATTAAAAGGGCAAAGGGAACCCATAGGTGTCGGCATTCATTTCCACTGCATTGTGACCCATCAGTTTTAATCAGAGAGGCTGACAGCCAATCTCTTGTACTGGGACCCATTTCTTATTAACAGCTCTTTGCCCACACATCTCCACACATGTAAAACATTAAGAATCATTACAGGGACCTAGCCACCGTACAAAATAATTAACAGTGAGGGGCTCTGAAGCGTTATGCTTCCCTTACCTTCTGGCTCAGCCTCATTTTGATACTTTAATTTCAGAAAGGTTCAACATTCAGGGAGGTCTTCTACCAAGTGTATGATAAGGCTCTTAAAATATATCCGACGTTATCTTTTGATTTATCTGACGTACATACATATTGATGACTGGAATCCTATTCAGGGTGTAGACCTGCTCTCCGCTCTGTACCTTTTGGATAGGCTTTGTCGAAAAGATTCTTATTAGGAGTAGATGACTTTGTAATAAATAATAATAAATCAGGAAAAGCTATGACATTTTTTATTTCTAAGGCACTGAGCTTTAGATAGTCATTCTATTTCTCCAGCTGAAAACACCATAAGATAGGATCAATAATGTGATGGCTAAGCTTCGGTCTTCTTACACACTGTTCTGTGTACTGTAGTTGCCCTAATGTTTAACTTAACTGTACATTTTCTTTCCTTTACAGGTTCTTTCTTCATAATGCTTCTTTAAAATATTTCTGTAAAATGTCCTATTAGGAATGCAAAATTAAAAAAAACTCAGTTTATACCATAATATTTGTGTTTTCCAACTCATTTATTTGCATATTAATTGCTGTCTTGTTAGAATGTGAATGTGTTAGTTTAATTTCTTATATGTGTGCATTTTTGCTGTTGTATTTTAGATTCTTGAGGAATAAGTGCATGTTTATTTTTTTAGTATGTTAAAAGATAACTGGTACTAAGAAAAGAAAAGGGATTAAGTAAATCCCTATTAGAGATGAAATAATATATCAGGGATCATGTATGAAAGCCATTAATTGGGCTGTGTTAAATCAATAAATATTGATGTCCTTTGTTTTAAAAGTTTGGAATACATTTTTGAACTATACACAAAGCAGGGTTTTATATTGAACAATATAGCAATCTGTACAGCAGTTCTTCTATAACCTCTTATTAGATTGCATCTTAATCAAGTGCTAACACTGCTGGTATTTTTTACTATCGTTCCACCAGTATTCTGAAACAGTCACTTATAAATAAATTAAATGAACCAGCTTTAAATATTTAAAGAAATGCTCAACATACAATAACTCAATGTTAGGTCGTAGATACCGATGGCTGAAATCTTTTGAAACTTTTTTTTTCTTTTCTTAGGTGTCAACGGCAAAGCAATGACAGAAGGTATGTATGTATAAAATAATACACATTTTAAATGTTTAAGATTAATCTTTTAAGACATTTCCTGGCTAGGTACTGTATATGACCTATAACACAAGAAATTGAATGTTTTCACATTTCATTTTTTATGTATTTAAGCTAAATTGGTTGGTATTAAAAAAAAATGATTCAAGGGTTGTAAAATAAAAATGCAGGAATGGTCTCTTCATTTGTGTATCTTATGCATGTAAGAATATGTATCCACAGGAACCCTTTTTATTCTGTAATTGGCTTTCCTAATGACTTCAGACTCTCCTAATATTTATTTGCAAACCAATTGGACAGTCTGTCCTTCAAAGACAATTGATAAGACACCGAAAGGAATAAGAAAAAATCAGAGTTTACTTAACAAGTAGTAAAATTGGAGTCTGATATGCAAATATAATGGCATTTGGTGTTCTATCTGTCCTTGTTTCATTTCACATTTAGTAAAATCAAAGTGATATCAAACATGTAAAATGCATATTTTTTCTCGCTTCTGGGACTGATTGTGAGCAATTTAATTGGCTACAGAATTCCTAAGATAGACATCTGATTAGGTAAAAGTGTAAGAAGGGTAAGTCTTAGAAGGGTAATAGGTCCTAAGTGTCAGTTGGTAATTTAGATTTTCTTTTGAATGTATTAGTGTTGTGTTGAAGGAAATGTGATGAAGTTGGACAGGACAGGCAACCCATTCTGACTTTGGTATGGTATTTGACAAGGACATAATGTTGGCAAACCAGTTTGAATTTCTGTGACTTTGTGACCTTCATACCAGGGTATCAGGTATGAATATATGCTCCAAAACTAGAGTCACTTTTTTCAGAGAGGTAATTAGGTCCCAGCTCTCTTCATCAATGGAACAAGACACAGATTGAACACAAGATCCCGACCGTATCAGTGCCATGCTTATACTGCCTGAGCCACATAAAACATAAAACAATCAGCCAGGGCTACACTACCTCTAACTTGGAAATTAAGATTGTTTTTACTGCTACATGTGATTAAGTCACTGTTGACATGAAACCCTACAAAATGACGCATGGCTTCAATTGTAATTGGCACTCAGAAGTCATGAAATTCCAAGTGAGGGAAAAGAGCTGTTGGGATAGGCTCTGCATTGAATTTAGCCAATCATATGGGATAGAAGGAAAAAAAGATTTCAGTCTGTGTCAAGTGTCCATCCTGGAAGGAGTGAGAGCTCTCATTACAGATGGATTGAGCTGGTTTACAGGTGTGTAGGACTCAGTGAGCAAGGGATTGAGAAAATACATTTGTGAATTAAGCTGTACTGAGAGACATCACAGATGCTGGACAGGTGAGGTGCATAGTAGTTTATTTGCCAAGCTCGGTGGAGTTGAAGTGTACTGCCAAGAAACAAGGTTTGCCAGCTGAAACATGGCTTACTGGTAGCATTACCACCTGGAGGAGTGAGGCATCACCCTGCAATGTAGAAGTGTATCTTCTTCTCACAGCTGGGAGACTGAGGCACAGGTTGAGTACTAAGTACTCCCTGTGCATTACCCTGTCAGCAGAAAGATGGGCTGCAGTGTCAGGAACACAAGTATTGATTAGAGAGAGGCATCACTGACCCAACTGGATCAAATCAGCATGGTTAGTCTTTATTAGCAAAGAGCTGGTGCTAGGTAAAGAGTGAAAGTGAAGACCTGACTTGAAGTTATTATTGAAGTGAAAGAGTCGCAGACAGTAAACAGCAACAGTAAATAGCAAATAGTGAAATGAAGATTAAGAATTGGATGACATAACAATCAAGTAAATCAAGTTGAATACTCCAGAAGAGTTAGAGTGAAGAGTTACCGAGATATGTGAGTAAAGCCTCATGAAAAACCATATGCAACGAAGAGAACTGTGCAGTCTTCTCTCAGAAAGGAACAATGTAAAAGAACAAAGATCCCAACAGGGATCCGAAAGTCAAAGACGGATCACTTAAAGTGAAACGCGGGCACGTAGTTTCCACACTGACTGGAATTAGGCTCATGTGTGTCAGTGGTTGTCACAGACACCCTTGGATGTAGATGGCACTTACACTAGTCATGCATACTTTCAGATGGTGATCAGTAACTCATCAACATCAATGCTCTGTTCTGTTTATCCCCTAAATTAAGCAGATATCACTTAAAACTCTTTAAAACTGGTGTAAAATGTTTGCTCCAGCAGGTGATAAAGATTCAAACTTTATGGAAAAATATGAAATGCATTATGTAGCGTGAACAACTTTGCAGAAGATCAGTCTCTGAGGAAGGATTGCAACTGAATCCCTGCAGTCATTTCTATGTGCCGCATTAGCAGAGATAAGTCATTTGGCTGACATTTTCATTTCATTCACTAATTACAGCTCTTATTATCTGGTGTGTGAGAACTAAAGCAGCTGCTTTCTTCCTGCACTCCTCACGGTGTAGTCAGTGGAGCGCTTGTATAGGTCCTCCGATAACATTGTCAGTGTTAATGTTTGGTAGGACAGAGTGAAGTGGCTTGAGGGAGCAGGGTTTTTAGTTTGCGCTGAGTTGAGATTACAAAGAACGCAGTTCACAGGAGAAAAGGCAAACTTGCTTCTTAGGCAAACAATATGCGGTCAGTTCGGAGTCTGTATGAAAATGATATCTATACTGTTCTAAATAATTATACATGAAGAGCTCATGTACATGAAATGGGATTCAGCTTCTTAAAAATTCTAGATATTCATTAATCTTTTGCCATTTCAGAGTAAATACAGTGTACAGTATATATGCATTTTATAGTGATATTTGCCATTTGCTTGCTAATAATAAAAGCTTTTTAGTCATCCCGTTAAACCTGCCACAGTTTGTAATTTCAAGCATGTTGGAAGAAAACATTGTATTATTGTAATGAGAATCTGCTATGAACCAATCTCCTTTATCACGTAGGCGGTATGTTTAGTTTCACATTGCTTGTTTGAATTAGAATGTCAGTTTCCATGTCTTAAAAATAAATATTACCATGTACAGTAGATGTCTTTTAAACATCACACCTCCTTATTATTGGAATTTGAATTGTACGTCCACTGGATATTATGCTTGCTGACAGGGAAAAGGAGGGCAGAAGAAAAAAAAGAGCTGCACCGCAATAAAAAAAAAAACTGTATGAAGGGAAAATTGCATCGCTGAGCGCAGGAAAAATATACCCCCGTTGATTTTTGTTGTTGAGAAACGGCTTAGGCAATCGAGCATAAATCCATAGCTTAGCAAGGGGAGCTGGCGCTTGCCGTCGTATTTTTCACTTCAAATGGGCCACTTGGCTGACAGCAAAATAAAAAGATGTAGAGCGATCTTTAAGAACCTGCTTGGAAAATTGATGGGAGGAGTGGGGGAGGTGGCGGCATGCTGTCAGCCGTTCCCTGTCGCTGTCTCGGCAGGTCACTTGTCCTTGCCATGATGTACTTTGAGGGACTGACCATTGCTTCCTCTGCCAGGCATCGGTTTTCATGGATTGGCTGCACTGTGGATGATCCCGTACTGTGCAGCTCCGAAAGTAGGAAGGGGAGAGGTTCTTGGCTGTTGATGTCTTTGTAGCTGTTGCAGTATTCACAGTCCTTCCCCTTTAATCCCACACTCCTGGAAAAAAATATACAAAGGCAGAAGTTTAGGGTTTTTTTTTTGTTTCCTGCAGCTTTATCTTCGTAACTTCGCAATTTCTTCACCAGGAAGGTGTTGCTGACGATAAGCTGCTCGTTGTCAGCTTGACAGCAAAGCCGTGCAAAATAATTTTAAAAAGCTTGTTGCAAACTGATAGGCAAAATTTCCCAGTCAAAAGAATTTGATTCGCCTCAGCACCTATTCATGTGTATGAATTTCAAAGTGTATTTCCTATTATTCTGAATCTTTTCAAGGTGTGTTTTGGTTTGTCACGTCCTGTACTCATTAGCAGCGCTGGTGATACCAATTCAGAGTTCAGAGTTCTCCAGTTCCTGCTATTTGTGTTTTCTCTTTGGCTTCCTCAGCTTCTTTTACTGAGGGTTTCTGTCTATGGTGGTGAAAATGTTAAGGTTGCGTGGAGAATTTACTAATGAAAGCCACACAAATTCTCAGAGGTTGATGCCCTTTTCATAATACCCAGATCACTCATAACAGAATGTACAAAGCATTCCATTATGCTCTGACACATGTTGAGCTAACAACCCAGCTGCCTCAGGCTCTCTATTAGAAAAGAATAATGATAGTCGATAAGGTCAGCAGGCTCACTAGAAACTGGGTTGCTTAATAACTGCTTTCGCAGTATAACCAAAGCTCTGCAGTTCGACAGCCATGTTTGTTTCCTTACCAGACTTTAAGTTCACTTGTGTAGATAAACAAATTACTGTGTCCTGTAGCAGCTTTTTTATAGTGATAAGTAATAGGTTTATTCCATGCTGAAAAAAAGAAGAAGAAAGAGAACACAACGTTTCGGCCGTGGAGCCTTCTTCAGGTGAAGAAGGTCACCTGAAGAAGGCTCCACGGCCGAAACGTTGTGTTCTCTTTCTTCTTCTTTTTTTCAGCATGGAATAAACCTATTACTTGTTCCTTTGCAGCCTACACATGCTGACGCAGCTACCCACCTGAACTACAACTTTTTATAGTGATGTTGATTAAGTTGACTTTAGCGACCAAAGGCCTCCTGATTCACTTACAAGAAAGCAAAAGAAAACTCTCTGAAGTTTTTACTTCAGCGGGGAGAGTGGGTAGCTCACTGGATCTGAGTGGAGTGCTCACAGTGTCCAAGTTAGAAGAAGCAACCACAGTGAGTGAGAAGTTCTTTACAACCCTCTTTATCAAAGCCCAAGAAAGCGATGCCTCTGAAAATGTGTCCTCAAAGGCTTGCAGTGTTAATTATCATTTTTGTTCAGTCCAAAAAAGAGAATTATTAAAGAGCATTTAGAAATCATTTTGTCTAAATATTGTGTTTTTCCAGGGCAAAATATTCATAACTGACCAAAAAATGACCAGGGTGATCTGTGACATACAGTATCAGCGTTGCCCTAATTGTATTAACATTTACTTTAAAATTGCAGACTAGGAATTAAATGTCTACTTTTTAGTGCTATATTTTGAAAATCTTTCAGAACTACTTTATAATTGATGAAATCTTTAATATTAGGGATTGCATTCATCTACAATATGCAATTTAGGTTAATTAGAGTTAAAAGCCTTTATTTTAGGTTTGATGCTTAGAAAATGTGAAATGAAGCTGGAAGTTTCTTTCTCCCTTGGTATGCTTTTGACATCAGTGACAGGACTGCGTTTTTAGTAATGTCTCATTATCAGAAGCCCAAGAATGTTAGGTGCTTGGAATTTAATGCATGACTAACCACATTTATGTGATAAAAAATTATAGTGTACACATTTCCAAGAGCATGCTTTTAAGCACAGCAAAAGCGTGCAAGTCTGTTCTCTTAGTTAATAAAAAAAGAACAGTGTAACAAGGAATTAAAATGTGAAAAGCAGCTCACTGCAGATTTTTATGAAACTCTAACTTAAATCACTGAGAAAAAAAGCACCTCTGTTGAAGAAGGCTGTGACCTGTTTCCAATTACACCATCATTTATTTTCTGTAATTAGATGGCATATAAATCGACAGTTCCCTGATTAACGCTACATGAAATACTGCTTATCACTCCATCAGCAGACAAGTGAACAGCACCTTGGTCCGAGCCCTGGCATAATATGAAAGAGGATGTATGTGTGTGTTAGAGGGAGGGGTAGAGGAAAAGTGAGGTAGGAGTGATGAGAAATTCTTCTGATGTAATTTAATAGCTGAAACCTGTTATCATGGCAGCTTTGCAGCACTGAGAAATGCTTTCTATTATCTCCTTTCCTTTCAAGCTGACTATCACTGTCTGCAGAACGGTAAGTTTTATGGCACTTTAGTGAAGTGAACATCAATTAGAGATCCATATCGAGGAAAAGGTTGATTTTTTTTAAATCAAAAGTTTCACATTTTAAAAGGTTATAGTTTATTTTATATATATATATGACATTCCAGGGTCCCTAAATGTACTTAGTCAATCTTTCACTCTGTTCTTCACAACCAAGATTTTTTATTGGAAATACTGCCACTGTGCATACAGTTTATGCCTCTGCAAATAAAGAAAAAGACATCCTTCCAGATTTTCAAAGGCTATCCTGTTTAATTTGAGGTGGTATTGATAAATTCTAAAACCATTTAGGAGGGATGGGGACCCTTATCAATTATAAGCGTGATGCTTTCAACCTTTCACAGACTTTAAACAAATACACATTTTGAAACTGAATGGTTTATGCCACCACTTTATGCTAGAGATTTTTTTTTTCATTTTGACATTTTCTTTATTTGAGCTTTGCACATTCTTTAATATAAAATCAAAATGGCCCTTTGGCCCAGATGTCACCCGTTCAAACTGGGGTCATGTCACTAGCTGAATGTAACTAGTATGTCTCCAGAAGTGGTGTAAATTGTTGCTTAGGTAAGATGGGAATTAAGGTGACCAAGGTCCTTGTGATCTTCAGTGAGAAAATGATTCTGGCAACATGGAGTTTTACAGTGATCTCAGTGAGAGATGGACTCTTCCCTAATTTGAGTTGGCTCTCTTACAAGAACCATAGTGCTTACAGCATTATGTGAAAAGACAGGTGGCTTTGACTGGTGAATGAATTAGAGGAACGTGTCTATAGGGTCTCATCCTCTATTTGTAGTACAGTACTCATTGTCAGACTTTTATGCATAACAATTTGAAATTAATAGAAATGTTACAGAAAAGTAATTGAATATTCCAGTTTGATTAGCAGTTTTGGTTAAAATGTTGTGTACAAATGTGTTTATTTATATATTACAAATTTGTCCTACTCACGTCTTTGAATTATAAAATCTTATTTTATTACAATAGCTGATTGTAATAGCTGACCTCTTTTTACTGTATCTCATCGCTCATACTTGGTGTGAATAAGAATTTTATTTTGTTCACAGTTCCACACTCCACATTGTTCAACTTGATAAACTTGTAACGTATTCACCCCCTTGGACTTTTTTACATTTTATTTTGTTACAATAAGGAATCATAACGTATCTGATTGGGAGTTTTTGCTGGGAGTAATTGATAGAAAACACCCTTTAATGTCAAAGTGAATAGAACATTCTGCATATCCTTCTAAATTAATTAGAAATGCAAAATAGACCTTTATTATATATGATTATCAAGAACGTTTCAAGCTCTTCAGAGTTGTACTGCATGGATTTGTGTTCAGGGGTCAAGTTTAAAAACAATGGGCATATTTAAATCATATTCTGCGTCTTATAAATCTCCATAGTGGACAATTATAATTTTTCATTTACACTCACTACAGCGGTTTTAGTGAAAAAGTTAATCAATTTCTTAGTCCAAATATAGTTTCAAAATTGCGGCTTCTGCAACACCATGCTTCAAAGCACACCAAGTAGTAGAGGCGATATTTATCTTTTTTATCACTAGCTACCATGTGCAGTTAAGTTAAAATTTAGAAACACTCTTAAAATTGAAAAAGGGAAATTTTAAAAGGATTTTGTGACTACTACAAATTGCTACGCTTTGCACAATCATTTTCCAAATACATCATGAACTTGTACAGATTCAGATTTACCTGAAGTGTGATTGCTTTTCTTAAAGTTTTATTAAACCAGCTGCTTCCATACCAGACAGAGCTTCTTTCTTTTGAGGACTTGCGATATCTCTCTGGAACAGATATGAAAATAAAAAGGGAGAAATCAGTCTGTTTTACCTAATTCCCTCTGCTGAGAAGCAGAGGGAGCCTGTGCTGTGTTTTTTTATTATTTCTTCTACTGGATTGGCATTAGTCAACAAGTTTAAATGTATGTACTTTATATTCAGGTAAAGCTTATCGTTAATAACAATGTGCGTCTAACCATCTGTTGAGTTATTAAAATTTTATTTTCAACATACAATTCAAGAAATTACAAATGACAAAATTACAATTGTTTTTCCCCATTCCAGCTGGTATACAGTTTCATTTTAACTGATCTCTTGATTCACTACAACATTATAACTTCTTGAAGCACATATTCCCAAAACTGCTTAAGCTGTTTTTGTTAATCACACACGGCTTCTTATGTCAGCATTTACCGAGAAGTGAGATGTTTTACTAATGCAAGGTCCGAATATCCCCTACACGATCTTCTATTTATACGATACTCTGGTATCACCATTGAAGACATCGTCTCAGCCAGCCTGGATTACTCAGCTAGTTTTATCCTGTTAAAAGTGAATCTCCTCTTCAACCTGAAACCTTTAACTGCTGTGACCCATTTCAAGCCTGGAGAGAATGCACTTAAACAGATAGCCTAGTATTTAGAAACAGAACTTAGTCTTGGGTGAATTACATATTCTAAAATGAAAGTCTTTCTGTGAATGCTTTTGCAGAACACACTTTTGTGAATGTACAGTAGGAGTTATTAAAAATGTAATATTTCCTGTTAGAACTGGTGAAGAAAATCACTAAAAGAGAGAAAGGAATATCAAGTGAGTGCTCATTGTAGATTTTAGACCATAGAGCAGAACCTAAAGTACAGTACAAGACAAGAAACTGGCAGTGCTATGCTGGAAACTAGATTCCCCAAAAAAATTTTCATAACATACAAAGCATTTAAGTAATTTGTCACCTGGATAAAATTGTGTGCAGCTCTGTAATACAAAATTAGTCCCAAAACCAGTTCCTCCACTTTAAATTTGATAACTGAGTATTAATCTTTAATATGGCCATAATTGTGCAAGCATATTTGCTGTCACCCACCATTAGCTCAGATAAATTAGGCAATTTAGTTTGGTAAAAAAGCGTCAGGTGTGAAAAATGACTGAGACAAAATCGTAGGAGTTGAATCAGCAGAAGCAGATTACATGCTAAATAAGCATTTACTGCGTTCTGCTTGTCTGACAACGTCTCCACTCTCTTTTATCTTTTTTTGGTGTTGCAATGTTATTCTCTTATCTGTAAATTTGGCTAGGTAAGAGTGTATTTTCAAAGTACAGTAGCTCCTCTTTTTTATTTTTTGGTAGGGCAAAGCTGCAAAAAACAGGACCTGAACTTTCCCTCCAAACTTTCAGCTTAAAGTGTATTTTAAACTTAAAACTGTTTTTACTTTATACACTGAACTGATACAGTATGCCCAAGGGATAGACACTAATACTTTATCTTTAAACTCAAGCTATGTCTTATTTTAATTGTTTTAAGGTTGTATGGCATTCTCTATTGATGGCATTGTCCATCTTCTGTTCCTTTTTTTTACGGTGTCTTCACATGGATATAAGAGTCATTATCTTTACTTTTCTTATTTTGTTGATGATGTTTTGTTGTTGTTCACCCACATACAAAACCTTAGTGTAAAAATCTGAAGTATCTGTAAGGGTTCTTGACTGTACTTTTTTTTCAGAAACACGTACCCTAATTCTGCAATATTTGTTTCTGCTAGGAAGGAGTATTGTTTTATAGGGTTTTTGATTTTCAATTAGTTTAAGATACTGCAGTGACGTGTTCTGTGTTATGAACAGAAATAGGAACAAACACTGTTTAACCCTTTGGTAAACCTTTAAATGAAAGTAGTGATTATACAGCAACACACAGTTTCCTATACAGTATTTTATAAAATGATAGAAATGGCATTACTTTTAGAATTAGAGGTAACCAAATGGTTAAAGTTTTTGAACTAGTGCTTAATATGCTGTGACTGTTTTACACTCTATGTCCTGTGTAAAGCTGAATAATGCTGGCTGAAGGCTGTTTTTCTGTTATACAATTATAGCATTGATTTTGACCCTTTTTTTGCCTTCTTGTCCGCCTGCCTTGGTTATACTGTGTCTGCTGTTGTGTTGATATACATTATTGGAGGTCATGAGCACTTACCATTGTTTCCCCAGTGGCAAGGGTATTGTAGCTAAACACATCGGTCTGCCAGCCTGTTATCACAGTAATGCACATTTTTAACAACATCCTTTTTTTTTTAATCTAGTAAGTTTTCAAGACAGGGCTTTGCTTAAAGGGGTTGTCTCACGCTGTTGCACGTGTTCAAAACATTTATTAATATGGCGTTCTGTTTGGGTAAGTTCTGTCTTCCGTCTCAAATTTTACTTTTAGTTTTTTGTTCTGTACTGCAGCTCTCTCTGGCTTGTTCTCTTTTTCATGGATTGTGATTGAACTTTTTGTGAGAGGTTGAAGTTGATATTTGCAGATTGCTATCTGCTGTCTGCTATCTGCTGTATTTTTCAAAAATTGCAGAATGAACTGTTTCCTGCATGTTGTGAAAATACATGCTAGATAAACTAGTTTATAAGTATACGTTACAATTAGATTTTTTTACTTTAGACCATGTACCTGAGTACCTTTAAGTATTCAGAATCCTCCGACATATAGTATTTACAGTACCTGTGAACATCTTTAGAATTAACAGTAAAACATGAACTACAGGACTCAAGTGTACACTATGGGAAAGTGTACTGTGTCCAGACTGAGAATAGTAGGCACAATTTTACATAAAAGGTTTGGAATGACCTACTCAGTCACATTGTTGATGCTAAATTTAGGAAAATACGTAGATGCGATCCTCAGATTGATTAGCTACTAGCAGCCAAACAAGCTCGTTGGCCTGATCAGCCTGATTTTTCTTACAATCTTATATTCATGCCTAACTAAAACCCTATTATCCTCTGCACTTCATTAACAACAGTGCTGCACTGTTTAACATTGTTTCTTTGCTAGCGTCAACTGTGCATTTCTGGAACTGCACATGATATACCATTGTTTTTTTTATTATTTTATCTTTGGGAAACAAAAAAAAGTCTTTATTGTAGTGCACGGGGTCCGTCTGTTTACTTTTACTCCTTTGTGTTACTTAAATTGAGTTTTGTTTCAAATCACAGTGTTATGGTTTCCTCCCTGGCCTCAATCTGCTCAAATAAATCTCATGGGAGAGGCTAAAGGGCTTCAGTGCAGTAGGTAGTGCTGCTTACCTTATGTCCAAAGCACTGATTTTGTGAATCTGTGTCACAATATATTGGGTTACATGGTACAGTTCAGCGTGTAATGGTGTGTAGGGGGAGGATGTGCCCCTGAAGAAATATAGGTTACCAAGAATAATACTGCTTGTGTCCTTTTATTATGCATTGGTGTAATTATCCTCAATTAAAGAGCATACCAGAACTAAGTAATGCCTGCCAAGAAATAGGACTGTTGGGTATTTGGACATTGTGTTAATGCAGAGGCGTGCATCCTAAATGGATATCAAGTACATTGGATAGAAACAAAAATGTTTTGTATTAGACAACACGTTGCGATGTAAGGGAGACACAGGTATGTATACAGTATTTTAATTGTAATGTATTAATCTGTAACAAATATGTAGATAAAGTAGTTATATTTGTAAAGCTGCTTTGGAATGTATTGTAATATTAAGGTGCTTTCCAGTATGTTGGCTGAAATCTGTTTTAGATCGTAAACGGATAATGGTAATAAACTGTAGACGTTCTTGCCTGATTTCCCGAACTGCATTTAGAGTGGGAGAAGAGTAACATGCACATTTTGAAATACTAATTCTGAAAGAAAATAAAGCATTTTAAAAATATACACCGCTGATGAAGGGTGCTTATAATGACCAAGGTATAGTTGCGGGGGGCTCAAGTCAAAGAGGTGTTTGCCTGCAAGTATTGTCAAGCTACCATAAATGTGCGAGGTACTGTATGCTACTATAGTAAGTATTAGAGATTAGAGTAGAAAGCAGAACTTTAATAAAGAATGGAAGTATTATATACTTGATCATTTTAAAGAAAAGAATGATGAGAGTGTAGATAACGGTGTAACTGTAGCATATAATAAGCGAAACACCCTCCACAATAAAGACGATTTGAAGGTATCTCTATAAACATTTTCTAAAAACTGCTAAAAATAATATAGAAGGTCTTTCCATATAGTCTATAAACAGTATATTATAAATCTATATGTTAACTGTGCTTCGTGCTGTTTCCAAGCTTATTGCTGTGGAGGCAGTAAAAGGACAACCAGAGCCAATAAATGACCTGCTATACAAGCAAGCAGGTCATAGAACACAACATACTTTTTGAAGGTGTTTAACATGAATTAAAGGCAATATCTGTAACAAAAATGGATAACCAGAGCTGACATATTCCCTAGAGACAGACAACTTATTTGGGTCAATGTGTTTATTTAGGTTTTTCCGATGTCAGATCCTTAGTTCTTCTCTGAAGGTTTTTTTTGTTTAGAAATATTGAATAGTGTCACTGCTGATACCTTTCTTTAAAACACACAGTATCATTATGCTTCTGTTTGTAGATACAAATATATTTAAACTAGTACTATCCTAATTCATTTGTTCATAAAAATAATTTAACTGTGATGCATTGTGTAATGTGATTATTTAAATAGTGATTACGTAGTAGGGAGTTTTGAATTCTAAAGGCTGCGATGCTAAAATTTCAAATTTGTGTGTTTAGGGGCACAATCAGAAAAGTTAAAAATTAAAATATTAGACTGTATTTTTTAGTTACTGTATATTACTATTTTTAGTCATATACAAGACTTTAATGTTTGGCAGCCCATATACTGTAAAATTTATAGCTGTTGTTTTAAATTTTACTTTTAAAATAAAACATTCGGATGAAAGAAGCTATACAAAATACTGAGATTAAAAAAGCCAACCAAAGGTAATAAATAATTTGCTGCACAAGGGGAAATGAATGAAACAAATTATTAAAAATGAATAAATCATGACTTGAGTTCCACTACAGAAACAACAGCTAAAACTTTTTATTCTTGGCACATTTAACTTATGTGTCCCTGAGCTATATGTTTGTGTATATATATATGTAACTTTTATTTGAGAAATATCTTTAAAATTAAACATATTTAAAAAATAAAACAGAACAGCACTCATGGGAGTTAGAGAAAGGAGAACATTGTATTGTTACACTATTGTTGTCACTGAGGAGATTCCAGCTAAAGAAAGAAAAGGTGTTATTATCGTTTACTGTGTGAACTGCCATCTGTTTCACAACACACATAATGTGGAAAGCATAGTTACAATGATCATCAAAAATGATAAGGTATTTCTAAGTCACAGTAAACGATCAAGGGACAGATTGTTGCCAGAATATTTCATTTGGTATGTATGGTACTTATCTCCCTTTTGAGGCTATATCTCCATTTATATACTTTTAATTGTTTTTCTGGATTTGTGTGCAGCACATTCATTTAAACGGTTTTTATTGCAGCTTTCAAGTTTACAAGGGTCAGTACTCATGGTGTTATTTACTCACAACGGAGCTGTTATTGACTTTAACAATGACCATCCCATGGTGCTCCCATGTAGGCCAGGCTTGAGTCGTAGGCGTGCCCTCAAACCCACAAATCATAATGGTGGTCTGCCTCACCCTTGCTGCAGTTACACACGAATCGCTGGGTAACCACCAACCGTTCTCTAAGGTCAGTCGGGTACTTCAGATTGCTTTTCCCTGGTGCCATTTCAAAGTCGATGGGAGTCAGGAGCTCAGTGCCAAAACTGAGGTTTTTCCCCAACAACTCCTGAACAACAATGTGGTAAGCCTTCAGGACTACGAGCAGAAGATAATCTTTGTCTATCTCATGGTGCACTTTAAGATCACTTTATTAGCAATATACAGTTTCTTGCATTAGGAACTTGTCTTTTTGCAAAACCCCAGCTTGCTCTCCATGAGACACACAGGCACTAGTTTATACGGCACCCCTGGAGAAGTTGGGGTTAAGGGCTTTGCTCAGGGGCCCAACGGAGTAGGATTCCTCTGCCAGCCGTGGGATTTGAACTGGCAGCCTTCCAGCCACAGGCGCAGATCCTTAGCCACAGAACCACTGCACTGCCTGCTCCACCCTTTGGGGATGGCAAGTTGGCTGGCTACGGTGGCTTTGGTGCAATTTAACCCTCATACCAATCCGTTGCTCTGTAAGTGCAGGGTATTGTTGCAGGTCTTTCCCAAACACTGACAAGAGCTCCTGCAACTCAACTTGCCAGGCCTGGTTGCTATGGAGCTCTTGTTCTCGAGCACACCTCTCCACCAGTCACATCTTGAAGGTTAAGCAGAAATCATGGCTAGGTGGTAAAAATGGCGTCTGTCTCCTCAGAGAGTCAAGTTTTGGCCACTGCAAATTACACATTCCCTACCGAGCTGTGAATGGCACTGCTCTTTTAGAGTGACCACACCACCACCAGTTACCACTCTCCACAGAGGGAAGCAAGCTACCTGTCCTGGGACACCAGGGAGTTCCACAGCCACTAGCCCTTTTACCTCCTTTGACTTTGCTCAGTGTGATCAGGGGCGCACCCTTGCTTAAGACAAATCAGGTTAACCCCAGGTCTGGGTCTCTTTCCTGGATCTCAGCAGCTTCTCTGAGTTACTTTGGGGCATCTGACTCTCTTCAGTATGTCAATCCACTTGCTCACAGTGGTTCTTCAAGGCTTGCTTGTATCAACAGATCATCCAGGTTGTATGAGCTGGCAGCTATATGAGCTGTCAGGGGCACTCTGGAGGACACCCTCTTCTTGAGGTGCTTTAAAAGGGTTGGGAAGATGCACAGGCTATGTGTCGTAGCATCCTAATAAGATAATTATTTTCTTGGACCTGTCTTTGTGTGCAAATTCCATCTCCCAATAACCACTCCTCAGGTCAAACGTACTGTGTCAAACTCATCTCTTCTGTGGTCAAAGGCCTCCTCAGTGTGGGAAGCAGATTTTTCTGGGTCACCCCTTTCAGTTTTCTCGAGCTCCACCCAAATGTGGTAGGAGCTGCTTTGTTGTATAGTGGACACCATGCAGGTGAGACAGGAGGTGTCAGGCGATCCCAAGTTTTCGACCTTGAATGACCTGGGGGTATATGGGGCACAGCCCACAGGAAAGAGACGGGGCAGACCCATGAATTGCCATCGAGTGATGATATAAAGCTGGTCTGAGAGCACCTACGAATTCCCCTGGAGGAGCTGGAGGCTGTTAGCGGGGAAAGGAAAGTCTAGTCTGCCCTGCATAGCCTGTTACTACCATGAGCCTTACTTGGAATAAGCAGTTAGAAAATGGATGGATGGACATTTATATACTTTTCATAATTTATATAAAACATCAAAGTTGGTGATTTGGAGCCTGTTGTAGTGTCGATAACATTTTTTGCAGCATTCTTAAAAATCAAGATTCATATGGTATAGTATATTAACATTGCAATGGTAGTGCTATTATGGCCTGTTGTCATCCTCCATACACCATGGTTTACACTTTACCTGTTGAATGTACACTTTTTCTCAGACTTAATTCAAAAATGTTTACTACATCCTTTAAGTGTGTGCCTAAATGTTGTTTTTTTTATTTGCAGAAAGAGCCTCTGTACGTCAGGCCAGAAGTCAGCAGAAATACTTTGCCATGGATGTAGATGAGGAAGAAAATATGAGTGAGTTATTTTTTCTGTATTTCCTTTTCAGGAAGTGGACCTTTGTAATACAGGGTCGGTAGTTAAGAGCTTTTCTTTCCTAGAATCCAACAGAATTAGAGTGTTTTATTGAAAAATCTCAAACTCTTAGCATGAAGCTTTACAGTCCCCAAGTCTTTAATTTTCTTGCTTTGAAAAACTTTGATTGGAATCAAGCAGATGTACAGGCTAATAAACATAAATACATAGTGGTAGACGTACAATGTTATTAGATGCAGAAAGGGGTAGGACTCTCATAGAAACTCATAATGCTTAGTGCAAATAGACTTCAGTCTTCCATTGACAGCTCCAGGAACTGGAGTCAAAACCCTTTTTACACAAAAGATTGTGAGGCAAAGTCTGAGGCAAGATTCCCACTCGGACTGCAACAACATGGCAGCATGAGATCCCCGGATCAATTGTGTACGGGCAACCCATCGAGCTTTGAAAAGATAAAAATGGCTTAATCTTGTTGGTAACCTTTCTTATTTTCTTATACAGTATGTTCTTATGCCATTCTAGGTGCTGCCTGACTATCTCTGGAAAGCATTGTGAGGATTATGGAGAGGTTGTGGGGTGTGGTTGTCTACTAGAGATTATAGTGATTATGCAGTGAAGGCAGTTTCCTCGCCTGCAGTATGTTTAACTGCTTAAAATGTGCAAAAGATTTTAAGAGAGCAGACTTACAAAAAAACACTTTTTAATTTACTATAGCGAATATGTTTCAATTTTTTATCCAGTAAGTTTATCCAAGACCTCACATTATATACCAAAAGGCATTATAAACATAACAAAAGCTCATCTGTTGTTTTTTTAGAGCCTGTCTCGATACTTCTAAGATTTATTACAATTGAGTTTGACATCGGTACATTTCGCCACAAAAGCTACTGAAGAGCTCCTTTGCATCTTAGGATCTGTAATTGATTTTTAGGAAGAGCCATAAGGTATTTGTTATTAACAGAGGGGAACAGGCAGTGGTTTAATCCTTCATTTGAAGAGTTTTCAGCACAGCATATCTACCCACACTGCACTGTGAGTAGTAGATTGCTGACCTGTTGCCCAAAGTAAAAAAAAGTGCTCTCTATTCAGCCCAAGTCCTGCTGATCCTGAGTACATTCTGATGACCACTACAGTGCATGTGCAGCCAGCAGGCACTTCTTGAGGGAATTCTTGCAGGCCTGGGAATAGAAAATGTGACTATAGTGTCCTTACCACCCCCTTTTCCTAATCAGTTTGGTACAGAAAGAGATTTTGTCATGTGCAGATTTTCAAACAGATTTTCATATCTTATTTTGTATTATGACTTTCAATAGACGCTTTGGAATGTGCTTCATGAGCTTTTCAGCATCAAAAATGTTGTGATTTTAATGCAAAACAAGGTCTTTTTACAGACACCTGAAGTATTTTGTGCTGTAATAGACTGAAATTCATTTGAAAATGAATACAATCACATTCCCAACGTTGTTATATTCAGCAAGTCTAATGGTTTGTGAGCAAAGAAATAATTAAAAATTACTGTTGCTAATAAAACATGTAGATCTGATTTGAACCAAGTAGGAATAGGACTAAAAGAAATTATTTTTCCTCAGAATTTATTTAGTGAAAAGTGAGGTTTTTTTTCCAATACACAGGGCCCTTAAAAAGTGCCCTTACAGTCAATTTATATTTGTGATTATGTCGTTAATATGAATGATACGTACAGCATAATATGTTTTATATTGGGGGTAATTGCATGCATACATACATTTGATTATATTAGAACAAATGCATATTTGTGTTTCACCCAGTGATTTCATGTGACTCAAAGTATTGGTCAAACTGCAGTATTTGGAAGCAGTAATAATTTGAGAAGCTTTGCCAAACCATTGCTGCGGCTTAATTGAGTTCTTGCATATTCCTTTGGATGTTCTAACTTCAATTTATTCATCAACATGTGAAATACATCCTTAATTTAATTTAAATCTGGTGATTGAATTGGCTACTCCTAAGATCTTCCTCTGTTTTGTCTGATGAACGCATTGGTTACATTGGCAAGTGTTTTATGTCATTGTTCACGTGCTGCCTAGTAAATATGAAAGCATTTTACAAAATGACAATGTTTCTGTATACGTCAGAATCCTGCTCCTGCCTCATGAGTTGTCAGTAAAGACAAGCGAACCAGTTCCAGAGATGGCCATGCTTGCGCAGGCCGTGACATTTACGTCCACTGAGTTTCACAGTTAGCTCAGTAGTACAGTACAAAGACAAGCCAGAAGAGTTTTGGAAAAGTTGTCACGGACAAATGAGACAATGATAAACCTTTACCAAAGTGATGAAAAGGTTATAGTGTGGAGAAAGGAACTTCAGATGCTACTAACATCTGAGAATTTTTAAACTGTAATAATATTTTTCAGTTGGTGTTCTGAGGATGAATCGATAATATTGAACAAATTACAGCTGTGACCACAAATAAATGGCATCTGATAAAGCCATGATATATACTGTAGGGAAATAACATCACACATATTCAGAATATACAGTAAGTTCTGAAACTATGCATCATAATAGTGGTTGTTGGTACAGTTAAGGAGACTTGAAAATTTCCAGATGCCTTCCAGTACTTAAAATATTCTAGCATATGACCTTTTCCAGACTGGACTGTGTCCTCACTTTGAGATATCTCTTAGAATTTAGTCAAGGCAAAACTGTCTTTCATTACCACTGTCTTATTGCAGGGGCTTAAGAAGAAATACTGCAATGCTTGCAGAAACCATCCGTGTAGACTCAAATAAAGCTCAAACCACAATGCAATGTTCAGAAAATCTTTTAAGACACTGTGACATGCATTATCAGATTTACCTTCACAGTTCTTCTTACTAAGCACTGTGTCACAGTCTCTGGCTTAATCTCGCTTAGAAAATTTGGGACTGGAGCTGGCACAGTGTCAACCTGGTTTTCTTTTTATCCACCAGCACAATCTGACATGGTTGCACATTTCTCTTGTCTGGTTTATTTTCTCTAATTCCTAATTGAAAGTCTTCAAATTCACAACTGAAAGCACAGAAGCATTCTATCTTAAGAAGAAAGAGACTTGTGAATTCAGAAGCCACTGGTCATGTTTAGGAAAATCTTTTTTTACAAAAACTGCTCGAATCTTCTGCATAGAATCATTCTTCCAATGTTTGCTGGGGATAAGAGTTTTGTGACTCTTTGCCATTTCAGAAGCACATGTAAATATGTGGACACAGTAGTGTACATTCAGATAGCAGCCCTGGACTGCTTCCATGTGTCTGTGATTGCTAACCGAATATTCCATAGCAGCATTAAATGGATTGTATGAAACTTAATTTCAGGGCAGTAGGAATAATCTGTCTTAGTACTGTTTAGATATTGACGCATTTAGGCAAGCAGTTGTACACAAAATGCCGGGCATTTGGATTAGTTCCCCAGCTGGATGGGTAGATCAGATTATAATTTATATGATCATTATAATAGCATTCCCACTATATCCAGAAAAATCATTTTGTCAGCCCCAATTTGGAGATCAGTGAACTTGGGTTCACAGGATGCCTGAAATCGTATGCTTTCTTAAGGGAATGTGGTATACAGTATGAACTGGATCCATAAGATGATAGTTTTTTTAGCTCAAACATGTCCTACCTCAGGTAAGAAAAAAAAAACATGAATTTGAAGTGGCTTATCAAACTGTACTGTACTATGTGAAAAATGTATCTCAATAATACCCCAAGGCACATCCTGTGTACCTCAGTAGAAATTTGTGGGCTTCTTGATCCTGATTGCCTGAAGAATTTTAGTTTTCTGAGCCCGGTTCCTTGTTTTAAAAGGAAATCATTACTTTTAATGATGCTGAAAATCTGAGGCAGGCAAAGGATGATGATTGTTAAATATCTCGTTCAAATTCTCTAAAGTAACAAAAACCTTTTTGCTAATATAGCAAAAAGTGTGGCAAACATACGTAAACTAGTACTGTAGTTCAGGTGGGCAGGTGCGTCAGCATGCGTAGGCTGCAAAGGATAGGTTATATAGGTTAATAGGTTTATTCCGTGCTGAAAACAGAAGAAAACAGAAAACACGATGTTTCGGCTGTGGAGCCTTCTTCGGGTGTCATACTTAAACTACTGTATTTTAGATACTGAGTTAGGTGGAAAGATATTTATTAAAATTAGTCTAATTTTATGGGCTTGAATAACATGAGATTTCTTTAATTCCACCCTTTGATTTGACAAAAACATATCCCTGAGCAGGATACTTCAGTTTTTCATTATTTGAAATACGTTTGTAATAACGGAACTGGTTGGCATTGTGTGGCCCAATTACTAGAATAAACTTTTTCACAGACATTGAGTTGACATGCTGAAATGCTGTCAGACTTGGAACAGATTGCAATTTCAGCTTTCAGCACAGGCATCAGCTGCTCACAGCAAGATCAAATCTATCCCATTACACAGTTTACACATATTATATTTGTTAGGACATTGATAATCCTTTGCTATTCTCTTTAAGCCAGCAGAAACAGACATGCAAAGGTTTTGGATTGTTTCTGTTTTGGGAGGTTGGTAAATGACTTGTTTAAATGTCAAGGTTGTTCAAGGTCTAATTGGTTGATGGGGTTTTTATTAGATATTTGGTTAATACTTCATTTACTTTTTTTTTTTTCCTACAGGCGATCTCAAAGACTGTTTTCTTTAATATTGTTCTTTCTTTCTCTTATTTTTTCCCCAGGGCAAGCTCTTTGTTTGCATTTGTATTTGATCTGTAACACATTTTGGAGGCTCACATTTGATACTTCCATATCTCTCAGGCTATTGTATTCTGAAACCATCAATAGCTTTCAGTCTCTTTATCATTGTAACTAACTTATTCTGGTATCCTGAGTTGGAGATGTGTGGGTTTCTGTTGCAAATCATAACCAGCAGGCTTGTTTATGCAAAAACTGGAGTACTATTGCAGCCATATAAAGAAGTGTAATGTAAAATGTAATTACGTATAACATGTGTCTGGAAAACATGAACATTAGACTGTAAAAAAGAAAACATAAAAGGTAATTTATGTTTTTTGTTTTGTAATTGATTTAAATATTCACTGGAAAATAATTTTGGAGTTGAGGGCTATTTTTGCATTCTTGCTATCCCTTCTCAATAAATGCCAAGGTAGTGCCAAGCATTTTAATCTGCTCATATGATTTGTGTGCTTTGACTGTACTTCCTTTATTGCATATATTTCCTTTTTAAGTGCTTGCAAGAGTCGGTTTTCGCTTGGTATCTTCAGTTCCGAGTTGTGTTGATCCATGCTCCACCTTTATAGTTTGATCCTGATTTTACGTTTTTCTGGTTTCTTTCCCTAAGACTAACCCCCCAACCCCTTCACAAGTAACTGAATTGCCTTCATGAAGTGCTTTATTCTTTGCGTTTGAGGTTGTCTTTGACATTTTCCTTCTTCGTTTCCTGCTGAAGACACTCTGGCAGAGGTTTTGTTTGTCCCATGTGTATGTTCAAACCTTCCACTACAAACTGAAAGACCATCTCATCAATTTCCCACAGCCTCCTTCATTCTACAGGCCTTGAACAACAGCAGGAGATCGCACAAACACATAGAACTCCTTTAACTCCTCCTTCCTCATGGCAGTTACTCAAATTATTCATTTCTTGCTCTCTTCTATGAACTTATTATTTATTATTAATTTTTATTAATCTGATTCACACCTGTTCTTGCCCTCTGTTTCCTGGTAATGCATTTAAGGAGTTGAATTCTTCATTAAGCTACTGATAAAGGTTGGAGCTCAGATTTTGTGTGTAGCACGTTTGCTGCCTCTTGCTGAAAAGTTACTTTGGATTATTCCATTTTGGAATGTTTAAATTTTATACCGTTGCTTCTACAGTATAATCCATAATGCATTGTAATTAGAATTTTAAACGAGGCAAGCCACTTTTGAGTACATTATGATGCACTAAAGTGCTTTAAAGATTGTTGTAATATTCCCCATGCTGCCTTTCTTCTGCTTCTGATAAATTTATTATCAGTACCTGGAGTTTTTTGTTGTAATCTCAATTGTTACAGGCAAATGAAATATTATTTTTTATTGTGTTTGCTTTTTTTATTTTGTGGTGGCTAAATGGGAAGTTATTAGGTCACTAAGGAGAAACTTAAAGTGATGCCTCGAGGCTATAGCCTCAGTGTCCAGTATCACAGGCAGATTGTTACTTTTTTGCGTGGAATGCGTCCTTTTTTTTCCCCTTTTCTCTCTCCTCTTGCTACTCTCCTGCTTCAATGGGATCTTCTGTCCTGCCTGCTCTCTCATGTCTGGCTCCCTGTATCGTTTCAAAAGTGCTGCCCTTCCCTCCATGAATTCCCACTCTGGCATTTTCACACGAGTCTTCTCTCTTCCCGAGCGCCGAAAGGAGTAACCTATCGAGCTTTTGCTGGAGGATGTTATAAATGAAAATTTAGTCAAAGTTCCATCGGCTTTGTGAACAGGATATGGTGATGTGTGTTCTTTAATCAGAACCTCTAAAAAGGTTTATTTTGTTTTAACATTTAAATCACTTATTTAAAAAAAAACACTTCCAGCCATGTACACATTTTGCTCAATGGATTATTGTGCAACTTCACATACCTTCAGCAGTTTAACTTTTCTCGGGTGGAATTAACATTTTAATTCTGTAATACAAACTCAAATTGCCAATGATAAAAAAGAAATATTTTTTCTGCAAAATTAGGTGGAAGAAGCAATATTAATATTATTTCCCTCTTCATGAAGTGAAATAAAATACTTGGGCAGTTTCCAGTTTTCTTAAATTTACTATTGTTGACTTCCACACAAGTACGTGCATAAAATTAAGATTGTTCCTTCAGCCTCCCTTCTGTCTGTGAGCCTATTTGTCGTAACCATGTTGATTTTTCCCCTATTTCCGAATGATTTTTTCACACCTAATGTTTTGAAGGACTCTTCCTGTCTCCAGCATTTCACTTAGAGCATAAATAACTGGAGCAGATGTCTGAAAACATCTTTGATAATTAACAACAAACTTAACAACACTTTCCAGTGTAAAATTTTGTTATATTTTTGTTGTCAATGCAGTTTTTAGTTGTCAAATGTATTTTAGCCTTCGTAAGGCTTGTATGTTAAGATCAGCTAAGAAATATGTGGAATGATGTAAAAAGGCCTAACTACAGAGCAAGTTATTCTTAGGTTTTTATACTGAGTCTCCCTACTTCTTCATGGAAAAAATATCTCCTTTTTCTTTTGGAATTTAGGGAATTCATTCATATCCCTCAAATAACGGTTACAATATTTCGAATATAGTCATATATTTTCTGTTTATCACAGCTATAAAGTCAAATTTATTCCCACCCTGCCTAAAGGTAGAATTCTGTTATTGACTGGAATATTGTCATTAGATTATCTTTATAATATAAAATTGTACATTGGAATGTTCATTAGATATTATTATTATTATACATATTATTTTCATTGTTTTTAGGAAGTAGGATGTCATTTGATTCATGATAGTTATTTGTTTTATATTTGTTTCCACTTTTTCTAAATAAAACATGCATTCCAGTTTCCATAAATACCCCTTCCTCCTCACAAAAAAGGAACACACATCACTTGTTCAGTTACAAAGAGAGATAAAGGAATCTATAAATTTTACATTTACAAGATCCTGCAACGAAGGCGTTGTAAGTTACTCTTTCTGGGCACCGCAGGTTCGTGCAGCACCGACGTAAAGGAAAACCGCAACCTGGACAACGTCTCCTCCAAGGAGGCCGCTGGTGAGGCGGCCCAGCTCCCCAACGGAGGAGGTAGCAGCAGGAAGCGCCCTCTGGAGGAAGGCAATAATGGCCATGCGCATTCCAAGTTCCGTCCTAAGAAGCGAAAGAAAACGCCAGGGCCTGTTCTGCCCAAAAATGCTCTTATGCAGCTCAATGAAATCAAGCCGGGACTTCAGTACAAGCTGCTTTCACAGACTGGGCCAGTCCACGCGCCCGTGTTTGTCATGACCGTAGAAGTTAACGGGCAGCTGTTTGAGGGCTCTGGGCCCACTAAAAAGAAGGCTAAGCTCAACGCAGCTGAGAAAGCTCTGAGATCATTTGTGCAATTTCCCAATGCTTCGGAAGCTCACATGGCCATGGGTCGTACCCTGACAGTCAACACTGATTTCACCTCTGACCAGGCTGACTTTCCCGATATGCTCTTTAACGGGTTCGAGACACCTTCGCAGCCGGAGGAGTCCTGTTACTTGGGCTCTAACGGGAATGGCTCTTTCAGTTCTTTGGGAGAATACCCCCTCCCTTCCTCAGGGGGAGCCAACAGCCTGAGTCAGTCCCCACTGCCCGCCCCCACCACGTACACCTCCTCCTCCAGCGGGAAGAACCCCGTTATGATCCTGAACGAGCTGCGCCCTGGCCTGAAGTATGACTTTGTGTCGGAGAGTGGGGAGAGCCATGCCAAGAACTTTGTCATGTCAGTGACAGTAGATGGGCAGACGTTTGAAGGTTCTGGGCGGAACAAGAAGCTGGCCAAGGCCCGTGCTGCCCAGGCTGCCCTCTCCAGCTTGTTCAACATGCAGCTTGATCAGACACCCTCCCGACAGCCCATCCCCAGAGAAGGCCTGCAGCTTCACTTGCCCCAGGTAAGAGAAGAGGTAAATCCTGCCAGGCTGGCTGCACTCAGCCGGTCTGTGTCAAGGTCTCTGCCTTTTGTATCTTTTCTGAAACTCTCTCGATATTAGGTCTGGTTAAAATACAGTATGTGTTTATCTACAAGGCTGCTCAAAGAATGAACTTTTTCCTTTGAAAATGCTTTTAGTTGAGAAACAAATGTGTTATTCCAAATCAAACTGTGGCCAGAGAAGTCATCAGTATTTCAGAATAAATTTCTAAATATATCCTCTTTTAATAAACATCTTTAACAGCTATCAATTTTAAAAAGATTAAGGAATAAAGTATTGACAGGACACATTTTCATACATTACTTTAAAATTGCTCTGCCAGAAGCAGTCTGCCAGAATGAGAAATATTATGAGGGCTTGTAAAATTACTCTTCATTTTCTTGGTTTAATATCCTGTTGCAAGTTTTAAAAATTGTAGTTTCTCTGAACTCTTATATGCTTGTTATATTTGATTGACTCTTTGTGGTATTTTTAGAGTTTTTACTGAGTGTTCAGACCTTGGCAAGTGGTATCTGTGTGGTGAATCAAGTACAAAATGGAGCATTCTGTCTGTTCTCTTATGAAATGCCTGTCTTTGAAAGAAAGATTGAAGTGAAAATTTAGTGCCAAGGTGTCAAGGACAGAACGCCTCGGTTCTTTATTGCATTTGCCTCAGCCTACAAACTTCGCTATTCGTAGATATTTTCACAGAATGGGGAAAAGGTGCAGTGCACAAAAGTGGCTTCTTGAATGTAATACTGATGGAGAGAGGCTTACCTGATAAGCAATTCCATAGAACAGGAAAATAAAAAAGTTGGAAGATATCTTGTTGTTAAACCAGAGTCTATACATACTTCAATACAACACTGGAAAGCAGCCTGATAAAATATTTTGGCTGAAATTCTGAAATGATTATATACAGTATGTTAAGATTTAGTCTGTCGTTTGTTAGTATAAGATATTTTTAGTCGCAATGTTTCAAAAACATTCTGTAACTGATGATGGGATTCAGTCTGGCTTTACTAAAGTCTTTCATTTCTTAGGGGATTCTTAATGTGTGCTTTTTAATTGAAATTAAAAAATGATTGGTAGAACTTTGTTGTGCCTGTCAAATACAGTAAATGCAGCTCAATAAATGTCTCTATGGATATTATTGCAGAAAACAAAACACTGGTCTAAGCTTTGCAACACCTTCTCACTTTTTTTGGCTTAATTGAATTTCAGGATCCTATCTTTCATGGTGATGCTATGCTGTTAATTAAGTTAAGTTAAAATGTGTATTAAATCTGCAAGATACAGTATGGCGGCAGAAATGTTGGCAATGAAGTCAAGCCTTCTTTCCTCTGTGTTTGATATTCTGCAGCTCTTTTGAGAATACTGTACATGCATAAACTGTTCTGAAGCATCTTCCACTTTCATTTGCCGATCTGTGATACTTTCATGTGGCATCATTAATTTGTATCTGCTACCAAACAGCATGAGCAAACAGTTTAGGATAAACCCACACTGGATATGTCATTTCAGAAGTGATTTTACATTCTGCCTTTGTGAAAAGACAAGGATGTTTCAGATGTATGAAGTGATTGGGTGATTAGCAACATAACAGTCAGTCAAAAGATCTCACTCCAGTTTTATGAATTAGCCTGCTCCTGTTTTTTACATCATAGCTTGTTTAATTTACCATGCGGCTGTTTTTGACACAGCCTGCACTTGCCTAATTGAGTAATTCATTCTCCCTGCTTAAATATTTATTTAATTTACCTTCAACTGTACACAAAGGTGCCCTCTGTTCAGGCAGAATTAATTAGAAAACAGAATAGAAATAGTGATGATGGAATAGTTTGCATTTTTATTGCTAGAGCTAAATACCTCATTGTGGTTGTTCTCCCACCCACCAAAGGCTAATTAAGATGAGCTCTTGTAGTTGCATCCAGCTTGAGAAATCCAAGACTTCAAAGCACTTGGAAACAATAATGCCGTATTTGTGGTGAGTCAGCCATAACACTTACTACAGAAGCTGTTTTTAATCGTTCTGGGTGTTGATGTCTTGAGGTCCATAACAGTTAAGAGAAACTGAAAAGGCAATATTATTCTTGAAAAGAAATAAAGCAGTTGTGATATATTTGAGAAAAGTGCTGAGGGCATTTCTTTGTGAGATATAGGAAGATTATGGGGGCAAAATGGATGTTGTACTGTATTCATTTATTTAAATTTCAGCCAGTGTACTAACATTAGAGCTGAATTTCACTGTTAAGTTCCATCCTGAAAAATGTTGTTGGGTAGTGGGGTATTAGTGTTGCGATGGTTACAAGTATTCATTTTGTTAAATGTAGTAATGAATGCACTTCTAATCACTGTGTTTCCTGGTGGTTATATGGGAAGTTATCACAGTTTCTTAGTGTAGTCAATTTTCCATCTGTCCTATTCAAAGGTTTCTAAGAAAGTAAACAAGTTAATGTTGGTTTGAACAAGTACATTTTGGGAGGGAGCACTTCTGCTTTGAATGCAGCATTATAACGAACAGTTTAAGTACCAGAAACAAAAGGTTTTGTTTCTGCATGCTCTTGCTCTTAGATGTACAGTACTGTATATAAAGGAGTAATGAAAGAACTATTCCTAGACACCAGAGACAAAACCTTAAATGTGGTTGTGTCATCTTTTAGGTTCTAGCAGATGCCGTTTCCCGACTTGTGGTGGATAAGTTCAGTGAGCTGACCGACAATTTCACATCTCCTCATGCGCGCAGGAAAGTCTTGGCAGGGGTTGTCATGACAACAGGTACACTTTATTTTCTCTAAGACGAGAGCTGTAAATTGCTGCATTTTCAGTGTGTGTTCTTGCAGGTACATGTAAAGTGCACTAAGATCTTTATGCAAAACTATTGACTGTTTATGCATAATGACTGTTACAAAAATGGTTATCTAGGTTATAAAGAAAACTCAAATGATTATTAATGCCTTTATATAAAATAATAGCCTGAAAAGCCTTTTTCTTGTGTATAAAATTTAACTGTTAAAATTAAACAATTTTGGTTTTAATAAGTTACAGAGGATACTTTGAGAGAGAGGGAAATAGACCCAGAAAATGCTTCGCTTATAGGATTGCTTAATGCTAATGTTGTTTTTCTCATCTGGCTTAGGCACTGATGTAAAGGATGCCCAGGTGATTTGCGTTTCCACAGGGACCAAATGTATAAACGGGGAGTATATGAGTGACCGTGGCTTAGCTCTCAATGACTGCCATGCTGAAATTGTTGCCAGAAGATCCCTCATCAGGTACTTCTACACCCAGCTTGAATACTTTCTGAGGTGAGTTGAAACAGTTTTAATAGTTTAACAACGGACATTTAAAGTACAAGTAGTTTTTTTTGTTTCTAGATCAAATGTGTGAATCAGATTTTATTGTATCAGCCACCTATTTTTAAAAAGTATCAACCTAGACGTTTTGTCAAAATAATACCCTTTAGAACATTGTATTTATTCTTGATTGTAGAAAATAACATTTGAGTTTTGCAGTCTTTGAATGTGCTCTTCCCAAAAGCAAGGTCTTCAGATTAATTAGCTCGAACTCCAGACAGGCAGTAAGATTTATTAGTACGGCTCCTCGATTCTATGAGCTGGTCACAAATGGAATTCAAATAAAGAGCGGTTCACAGGTTTTGAGAAAATGATGTAGAAATGGAAATAGTCAAATAGATTTATTTTTCCTTGGCTTTTGACATGAGCAGTCAGGAGCTCTGAGGGGGCTTTATAGACTGCCTAGGAGGGCATCGTTTTGGATGTGGTTACATGATATTGTAACGGCAGTGTAGCTGTTTGTAAAATCTTAGGCAACTCTGACATTATTGTGATGGGATGTGCTCACCCATGACTATGCTCTTAATCTATGCTATTAATAATACCTGTGTTATTAATAATTGCTGTATACATAATCATTATATACATATACTAAGCATCAAAAGAAACTTATTCCTCTATTGATACATTTACATTGATAACATATATGCCTTTTCAATATTGATTTAATTGTTATAGATTATTTGATCATTCATTATTGACTGTGAAACATTGACTGTTGCATAAGCTTAATGAGAAAGTTGATTGGGCACAGGAGATGAAAAAATCTAACCTGTTAAATGTCAAACCTGGTGAAAATCAAGAAAGTAACATGCAAAAAAAAGAGGTCGCTATGACATGCTTATCAAGAGATTAATGCATTTGTGCCGTTAGGATGTAAGAGACTAGATTTAGTGAGCACACTGTTGCTCGGCATCTGGGTTGTGGCAGGCATTTCTGACTTGGGAAGGCATTACAGCTAAATACAGTCGATTGATGATAGAGCAAGAGTCATGACATTGTGTTGAAATAGTCTGTTCTGGAGTGCCATGTCACTACAGAATCCCACTAGTTTTGATGCAGCTGGTTTCATGGCATTTCATTGATCCAGTCCTGGGACAGTTCTTGCCTGCTCATTCTGATATATTGTTTCTGGGAGGACAACGCATGCCCTTGTGCTGCCTGTGACTGTGACAGTGGTGTTGATGGAGGGCCCTACTCATCAAATCTGGGCCCCATTAAACATTTGCAGGATGCTGTGCTTGAGCTTCCAAAACTACATGATGAATGGGATAGCTTCCCACAAGACAGCAACTGCCACTTGATGCCAAACACGCTTAGATGTACAGTTATTGCTTCCAAAGGTGACTATACAGAGGGAATTAGCCTGTGAATTCCACAGTTAACACCCTTTTTACATTTTGATTACATGGTATGAATTGAGTGTAAGTAGTTTACTGGTGGCATGGCTGCTCAATAAATTGTCAGTGCTCATGTTACAGAATTAATATTGACATTTTCCTAATAATAACTTTGTGAATTTGTTGTAGTTACTGTACAAGGGGTTTCTTTTGATGCTCAGTATAATATTAGATCTGTTTTTTATGTTTAAATTGAGGCAACATTGTAGAGATTGAAGTCGCTCTGATAATATATTGCTTTCAGTGACCAGGCTTCACTTGGGGCACTGCAGTGTTTAAAGACCCAATCTGGTTTGGGCACCACATCCCCTCCATGTCACTCTGCATGTTCTCAGCCCTTCTCTTCTGTACCTAAGCAGCAACAAAGAGGAGCACCAGAAATCAATATTCGTCAGGTGTGAGAAGAATGGCTACAAACTGAAAGAGAATGTGCAGTTCCACCTTTATATCAGCACTTCACCATGCGGCGATGCAAGGATTTTCTCCCCTCATGAAGCTGGAGTGGAGGGTACGAGTTCCAGTTCCTGAGTTTTCTTTTAGTCTCACTGAAAAAATAATCTTACTTTATTGTCATCTCACCTTGCACTGTATGCATCCTTAAGTCTCCTACTGTATAAGTAAAAAAAATATTAATCTTTTATCTACCTCTTCACCTGGAAGGTGATGTGTTTTTGTAGTGAATTAAATATATCCAATTATATTTATGTCCAGTTATCATATAATATATTTGTATGCTATGTGCTAGAAAAAAAAAAGTTAATTGAAACTGCCCTTCTAGAAGTCAGAGCACGTATGGTTAAAAAATGGTACAATCACCTTATTAATTGTTCTTCTTCCTACTACCACTAATTCCTCACTAAACATGTCAAGTTTGAATTACCTTGCCTTGTACTCTTATATTGAAGTTATTTCAGTCTTTAATTGGGTGCCACGAGAAGAAGCTTTTGTCGTACTAAATCACTATCATGAAATATTAGTGTATAGAAAGCTAACATACAGTAAATCGAAAACATCTCATTACTCAAGTTATGTCTATAATGCATGCTTGCCATTCTTGTTGATGAACCTTCTGACCCCATTCTTGATGAAAACTATGTGAAAACTACAAAGGAACAGGTAACGGTTTATTCCATGATCAAAGGAGGAAAAAAAAGAGAAACGATGTTTTGGCTGTGGAGCATTTTTCTGGTGTGAAAAAACTAGATATTTAAAGGATGAAACAAAAGTGCTATATGCTGCTATTCTATAACTTACTTAATCGATTCTTACACCGAATTGTAGAACACGCTTTTATGTAGGAAACAAAAAAGGCAAGAGATCCATCAAATCTTTTTAAGCAACAATGTTAATATGACATTAATTTAAGCAGTTCATATTGTCTGAATATATGGCTTTGCACAAGATTTGCTTGAGAGCCCTCAAAGATGAAAGTAAAATGACCGAATGCTGCCAAGGTGTAGAAATAATTAAATTTAGCAACTAGACAGTGCAATTTTTATTCTTTTTGTAATGGGAACTATTTATGATTTGCATAGTGAAATTCACTTAGCCTAAAAAAATCATTGCAGTGAAAAGAACTTGACATCATATGACCTTGTCTCTTTAAGGATAAGTATAGACTACATGATGCATTTTTATTAAGTATTAATACTGTGGTATTTTCAGTACATTTGTTTATTGGTAGGACAAATTCGTACCAAATATATTGGCAAGATAGGACTGGGGATCCCAAATTCAGTTATTTGTTTCTTCTAACAACATTTATAGTTTATCAATTCCCTCGTAGGGACACATCTCTACTAATGATCAATATCATTAAGCAAATATCAGTTATTTTAATATAGATGATATATTATATAATATTGTCTTATTTAGCTATAGATAGCTAAAGAGAGACATTCAGCACCCCTGCATTTTTCTGTTACTAAGCTGAAAGCATTTGATTTTTGTGCTTTCTTTACAATTTTACATGACAGCTACAATTGCTTGTTTCTTTTGTGAAGTGTGTGTTCTATGAAGGTATCACGATTAATTATTGTAATGCTGTTTCTAGATCAAGGTGACAGGCACCCTAACAGGAAAGCACGAGGGCAGCTGAGGACGAAGATTGAGTCCGGGGAGGGAACTATCCCGGTGAGGACCAGCAACACCATCCAGACCTGGGATGGAGTGCTTCAGGGCGAGAGGCTGCTAACCATGTCCTGCAGTGACAAGATAGCCAGGTCAGTCCTGTCTCCTTCTCCTATCCTATCCTATTTGCTCACTGCTTCACAAGGATTTTGCTGCTGGGACTAGAGGCAGATTTAAAATCCCTCTCTGTGTACCACAGTACTGGATCATTTGGAATTAAGACAAACGTTGCTTTTTTTTTTTTCGTCTTTTCTACGGCCAGCAAAATATGGAGCATTTGAATGTGCGTGCGGCTTTGTCTTTTCTTTTGAGATTTTCAAAGGATGTGAAATAGTTTGAGCAGCTGCGAACAAAGTAGCTATAGCTCTGTCAAAGCTCCCAGGGAGAAAAGACAAGCTTAAATGCTCAATTATGCTGTGGAATCTTGTGACATGCGGCTCTGTACGTTGATCCATGCTAAACAAGAGATAAAAATGTGTCAAGCTGACACTGCTCTTGTAAGTGGTAATTGGTCAATGCTGTTCTTGACAGTGTGTGCAGCTCTCTTTACTCGCTCATTTAACCCGTTTTTCCCTATGGAAATGTCTTCCCGTGACAAAACTTCCAAGTTGAAGGCTGATTTTAATGTTCATAATACTTTGTGTATAAATGCAGTAACAAATAACACTACCAGGATGAGCACATATGAAGAAGTTGTCCATAGATTGTAGTTGCATCAGCTGCCAAAGCTTAATTCTTTTGTTTTTCTCCGATGCTCTTTTTTCTGTTATGTTGAAAACTGCTAATTAAATTTGGGACAGATTCTGAATTCAGAAGCTTCTCACTCAGATAAATTGAATGGATAGGCTGTTATACCTACACGTGTTTTTGACACTAAAAATGATCTCGTCCTCTTTTACACGTCTTCATAGTTTTACTCTGGTCTTCCCTGAATTCCAGATACTTCAAATGTTCCTTAGGAAAGCTTTCAGAAAAGTCCTTTTGTTATTTCGCCACCACACATAATAAGATTTTCACCAGTTTTCAGTGATTTGTTTGGTTTCTTTTTGCTTGTGATAACAATATTTTAATAGCTTTGCTTTAAACATTATCACTTTATTTTAAATGCCTAGTTTTATCAGTATGAAAAATATATATTACGTCTGATTATGTTCATCTCTAAAGTCACACGTTTCCATCTTGAATGATGTCCAATACATGCTGTTTGGAGGCAGTGATGAGCACTATCTCCTAGATGTTTCAGCCTGCTATAATTTTATTTTCTGTTTGAGCATGCTGGGCTTATCAAACAAGACCAGATTTCTATGTCACATTTTGTTTTCCCACACAGTTTTTTTTTTTTTGCCTCACATAGTATTCTGATATGTGTACATAAAATTCCTATGCCAGGCACATTCATGTAAACAGTAGCAACATTTTGATGGATACTGCTTTTAAAATTAAATTATGTCAATTCTTTTTCGTTTTGTTCCACTTCACTGAAACTCTGCCTTTTCTGAGCCTTTCTCCTTCTGTCACTAGTTTGTCTGATCTGCTTTGGGATAAATAGTTAACATCCTTAACGTTCAGGCATAACAGAGGCATGCAATACTTCATTTAAGTGTTCACATTTAAAAAATGCTGTGACTTCTACATGTTACGTGAAATCTTAGCAAAGCCACAGGCCTTTTATGTAAGTGCTGAGTTGTTCATATATGATGTTAATCTATTGAAAATGAAATATTGCACAAATCCTAGCTTCATACACTGTTAATAGATGTGATACCTTGGTGAGTTTTCTTTTTCTATGGTGTCTTTCTGCAATTTCCCTCACGGGATCAATAAAGTATCTATCTATCTAATTGTACTTAACCTTTAAGAGTGGAGGGATTTACCTTAAAATTTTCTTTCATCATCCTGCCAATATTACTGTCTTCATGTTCGCCCTCTTATTGTTCACTGCAGAATTAGTGAATTCTATTCAATCTCACAGTAATTTTATTTGGTAATTTTCTCACAATCTGGACACAACTTAGATGCCTGCATCTCAGCCCTTCTCTGTGCAAAGAAGTAGTCTTAAATCTATTCCTGAATTGTATTTAGTTAATAGTTTTTCCAACCATCAAAAATGTGTGCTTTCAAAACTAAATGTCTACTACTATTTACAGGTCCATAGTTTGCAGTAAAGTGGTCCTGTTTTTCCTGCCACCTCCCAGATCTGTATTTGAACTTAATCCTGTTAATAAGGGTGTTATTTCCAGACTCTGTTCTGTACAGTAAGTCATACATTGGATCAGGAACTAGACATGATTTTTACAGATTCTTTTTAAGTTACGTTAGCTAAGAGATATATGATAGACTCCTTTGGTAAAACAGTCCCCCATTTTTTCACAGAACGTAACTCTCGCATAAAGAAAAATCGCACAAAGCGGTACATTAAACCTGCGAAAAAGGGGATGTGTGAAACGGTGTTAAATGTAGTGATCCAAATGCATTTAAATCATATGCTAACATACATTAAGAATTCACACTAAACTTAACATAAATGTTATTTGGGGCATTGTTTTAACTAAAAATAAATTAACATTCACCAAAATAGGCAGATCAGCATTCTTCTTTATGTTATAGTACATACAGTAGACTGGGCTAAACCCCAGGTTGAAAGCCCACCATAGGGTTGAGGATCCTTCACCAGCGTCGGCACAACGTAATATTTCCAACTTTGTTTCCAATGTTAAGGAGGTTCTATTTCTTTTCATTTGGGGTGCAGAGGTTGGAAAACATGTGGATGGCCATTTTGACTCCATAATAACCAAGGCAGCTGTAGCAAGAACGGACGTAAATGGTAAACGTGACACAGACATGCTAACCACGGTGGCAAGTGTGTAACCAAAAGCTGAGCAATGCCTTTGGGCGGGCTTTGGCGGGAAGAAGCGCATCTGTAGTTTGTGCAGTGCGTCTTGGCGGGCTTCAGGGGGTTTCGCGGGAATGTGCTCTACTGCCACAGATAGCATAAAAAATGATTTTTTTTTCACATAAAGAAGATACTTGGAATAAAAGGGGTCAATCGTATAAAACTGAATTCGCATAGACTGAAGCCGCATACAGCAGGGGACACCTGTTCTTAATTTGAATGTGGCTGCGTAACAGCTTCATGACTGCTGCACAAAATGTTATAATCACAGGTATAATGCTTTATAGGGGTATGTGAAAATCATTTATAGTGCCCGTTACAGTGTGACGCTAAAACAAATGTTATGACCTCTTACACAAACACTTATGTTATTTGGGCATGTCCCAATAAAACAATATGCCTGTGATAATAACGGGGAACATTCGTGGAGTGTTCAGCTACAGTATGAAGAGCAGAGTCTGGTGTATTAGCACTTTCATCCCTCCTGGTCAGATGTCTTACGCTACTGTCTTTTGCACAGCGCTATAAAGATACAGTGCACTTTCTTTAACTAGAAAAAGGAAATACCCAATACTGTAAAAGCCTTACTAATTAGAACGCTCTACTAACCAGTATTTTCTCTATAAGCCAAAACAAAATAATCTTACACAGGAAAATTGTTTGTTCTCCTTGACTTGAATTCTCTGTCACTGCCCAAAACGGCCAATTACTGGAAATATTGCCATGGCAGAGACACAGTGTATCATTTTTGCCTCGTTTTATCTTAAAATATTTACAGCATCTGACATGAGCCCCAGTCTTGTTCCACACTACCTCACGTGCTTTTCTTGCTGTGCGTGTGCATTGTCTGGAATAATTTCTGTTGTTTATTTGCAGTGTTGCTCTTTTAGTCTTGGCTGAAAAGCGTTCAAATCATCAACAAAACAAGCCAACACTAGGATTATGAAAGTTCTGTATTATATATATTTTTGCAATGTTATTTTCTTTACTTACAGTTTTATTATTAAAGTATTGTACGGTATACTCTAATTATAATAATGTGGTAATAGTGTAATACTGTAATAGTATTATGTGGTAATAGTGTAATTACGGTACTGTAATAATAATGATAAGAGTTGGAAATGTGAATGTGCCATGTAGTAGTGCATTCCAATTTACATAAATTGTGGTTGTGTGGAACATTAGTAGTATTGATTATGTGATATTTTAAATCTTGACTAACCTGCATATTTGACTGTCCGCCACTCCTCATTTCCCATGGATGCTATGTTGTAAACCTTTTATTGTATATGGGTCAACAGAGTATTTCTGTATGACCTCGACCTTCTCTGGAAATGACTTTCACAGTTAAGCTTACACTTAATGCCTTCCTCCATATCACCATTCTTTCATGATCATCATCATAAGGCTCTAACCACATAATAAATAATAAATGATAATAAACCTGCTGTTTTACAATATTACATACCACTCTCAATGACTTCAGTTGCAATTTGGCATGTTGGACTTTACTGTATTTTTTTCCCTCCTTTGTCGTTTTCTCTTTCAGTTCATGTTCCTTTTTAAATTTGTATACGTACTGTAGATATATTCTTCACATCTGTAATTCCTTTTCTCTCCTTAATGAAATATTATAAAATAAACAGGAAGAATCATTCACTCTCAAGAGCGTTTTTGAAAGAAGAAAAATTCTAATGTTGTTCCAGTCCATCTGTGCCACTAGTCTCTTGCTGACAAAGCGTCAACTTAATTTCCAACCTTTCTGACAGATGCCTAGTTATATTAGAAAGAGGGCTTTCAAACCCAGTTTGTTTGGAAAGGAAATTCAGATCAGATTTGGTTTGGCACCCAAGTACAGTTTGTTTTGGCACATTTTAAAGTTGTCAAAGTTGTTTCAAATCAGACTGTTCACCAAATGCTGTATGTACTTGAGGTGGTCTCGACTTGACTGAAGCCAATTCTGGTATGGTTTCCTTTCAAGTTTGACAACTCTTAAAGCAATGGTGCTAGAGTTCACAGTGATTGTTAAACATTAATGGCAACAAAAAGAATACACAGTACAGCAATCCTAACTGAAATGGAAAAAAAGCCTGTGTTTTTTGTCACTCAGTTGAGCAGTTCTGGGTCTAAATAAACTAATCTGCATTTTGTACAATATGTGCAGTGTTCATCTCTAATATTTTAGCTCTGTATATTTTGTTTATCTCTATAATCTTACCTCTAATATTTATAAATCTAGAAGATTAATAATAATAATTACATTGGACCAGACAAGAGATTTACTTAAAAAATGGTAGTGTGGTGTGAAAACAAACTTGGTGTGATTACAATCACAGTTAATTTCAAATCATGTTGTGTGACAGCAAATGAGAAGAACGACTGGCATTTGAGTTTGTTCACAAACTATAAAAGCCCTTCTTAAATTGGTCTCTTCTTTATGGTGATGACATGTGAGGTAGAAACATATTGGCCAGTCCACAAAGATAAGAACATCTTACACTTGCACTACTTTTTTTGCTTTGAGTTTTCCTGATAAATCGTGCTTCATAGAGTCGTCCACATTCTGTGTTCCTCCACAGAGCATTTCCTACTAAATTATTAACATCATTATGTGTTTTTGTTTTATGTAGCCTGGAGTGCTTTTTCAAGGTTTTATATTTCATAGATTTTTAATTAAATTCTACCTAGCGGGAAATAAGCTAAAAAGAGCATTTCAACCTGATTTCCTGTAGCTGAACATTACTGTTTCTTTTCATGAAAATGGTGTTTCTGTCACAGGGATTTAGTTAACCGATTGTCTGAGTTCCTAAGGCTCAGCTTTCATTCAGAGCACAATCACTTCAGAATCTTTCAGTTTGTTTAGGCCGGTGCTGAAGAATGGGAATTGCTTAATTACAGTATGTCTTAGATTGGACTGCATCGAAATTTCACCCCTGCTGTGACTTAAAAACTAGAAAGGCCAATTTTTTGGAAGATTGGAAAAATACACGTATATAAAAATACTTGTTGGTTTTCAAAGCGTGTATATCCCAACACAGCCAAGGCAGTAAATTATACAGTTTCTACATCCATTGTTTTATATATCACGATCCTTATCCCAAGATCCTATCCTTCTAATCCAGCATCCTTCGGATCAAGCACAAGGAGTAGTGTGCTAGCCTATCCTACAATTTCAGATCCATAATATTTTTCCCATTTTCTTCTGTAAACCAATACATAGACAAAATACCAAAATACATTTTTCTCAGATAATAGCAATATTACGCCTTGCAGCACAATACAGAGTACTGGTGCTCTGAAGAGAATCAACTTTCCTTGGGCTTGCGCTCCAATTGATTAACGGTCCACAGCTCATGACAGGGAACCCTCAAAGTTTCATTAAAGTCGAGGTCATTTTTTTTTTTTCAAATCCTGAAAATGTGAAGCGCAGTTAAAAAAAGATGAACTGCGCGGCTTCAGGTTTTGAGCACTGAACCTTTTTTTAAAACAATTCAGTCACATCTTCTAAAGCAAATGTTTCTTCCAAATTGATGTTCAACATAACATAAATAAATGATATTCTTATACACACAAATATGGGAATTCGAATATTTTAGCAAAGATTGTAAAGCATATTAACACAATCCAATTGCATAATCGTGACCGGATAGCTTGAGTCTTTGTACTTTTCTGTCGGGATTTGACTGCAGCACTGCAGTACATAACCAGTCTTAAATCAAAGCTGTCTCTTTATCATGGACAGGAATTATGCTGTTGATGCCATATATCATGCCAAACCATCTTAATTTTTAAACACTCTGGAGAACTCTGAGTTTGTTTTATTTCCCTTTTCTATGGTCTAAAGCACTTTGTAAAAAAGAGGTGGTTTACTGTATGTCTGTTACTAGTCAGGTTTGCTTGGCATCATATGCTGTGTTCCTGATTTCAGAAGCTAAGCAAGGCTGGGTTTGGTCAGTTCTGGGATGAGAAAACATCCACATAAACAGGAGACCAGTTTGCTCCTGTAAGTGGTGGTAATGCACAATTTCCAAATCAGTGGCCCACTTTGACTGGGAACACTGTGTTGTTGGATGTGCTATCCTATGGATGAAATTTAAAACTGACTGATTACTTGGTCATTAGAGATCCCATGGCAGCGTTAATGGATTTTTGTGCTAAATCAACTTTTTGTTTTAGTTCATTTAAGGTATGAATACATTTGTGGGTAGCCTTATACCTTTTAGTCTTCTCAACTCAACTATCTTTTCACTTAGCTAACTTAGCCAGGTGTCTGGCTGTTTTTCCAGAATGTCTAGGTTGGAAGCCAACATTTTTCACCATTTTCTTGATTTTCCGTTGTTGTTTCCAGGTGGAATGTGGTGGGAATCCAGGGATCTCTAATGAGCTACTTCACAGAACCTGTTTACTTCTCAAGCATCATCCTGGGCAGCCTGTACCATGCAGACCACCTATCCCGGGCCATGTATCAGAGAATAGCTGACATTGAGGACCTACCACAGCAGTTCACTCTCAACAGACCTCTGCTGAGCGGTCAGTATTGACACTTAGTGTGTCTGACACTTCCACCTGTCTCACAACTCTTCTTTCACTCATATCTCTTCCCTTCCTCTCCAGAAATTAAAATGGGAAAGCTTATATACAGGGTTTCTAAAAACACAGGAAGGGTTTTGGGATGATCCAAGGCCTTTCAAAGATGAGTAACCAATAAACGTCTGCAAATACTTGGCTACTCAGTCTGCCCAACCTGAGAAAGTTCTGTCTCAACAGTAAAACGGGATTTCAAATAGCTGGCTTTTACCTCACTTCTTTTTTTCTTAAAGCAAGCCATCTGGAAGATAACCTATGCTTTTTAAAATACTTAGAAAAATAAATTTTCTGTATCAACATTCTACCAGTAGTTCTGCTGTGCGTTCACTGGCTGTTTTAGAATGTACGTGCATATGTTGAAGGGCAGGTCACTTTAGTTTTACTGATTTTTTTCCTGCAGACAGGAAGCAAATGTGGGCTGAAACGCTTGTGATGGTTCATTAGAACTGAATACGGGTTAAATAGTTTGTCAGGATAATTATGGTTAAGCATGAGATAACAGACAAATAAGAATGCATAAGGTTAGAATCTAATCAAAATAAAAAGAAGAGAATAACTTTTATCTTCCAATTTCAAATATAAGCACATATTGTACAGTATAGCTTGTGCAATGTGCTGGAGCTCTTTCAAAGCAGCCTATTAGCTAAAGCCTTTTCTGGGCCTGCAGGGAGTAATGGGGCCTGGTGACTACAAAGTGGTTTAATGTTCCTCTACTGAGCATATAATACATTGACATAATTTCACATGTCAGCTTGTGTTTTGTCTTTGTCCTGGATGGCTTGCAGCACTGTCCCTTCTTTTTGAAAATGAAAACTGCAGGTAGTGAGATAATGGAGTAGCAATTAACCTTTTCCGGTTAAGGAATTTTAAGAAGGGCTTACATGTTCACTTACTGTTCAATCCATTAAGCCACAATGCCAGACCTTAATGGCAAACTGTCAGTGGCTGATCTCTGCAGTAGATAGGGAATTAACCTTTTAGAAAGCAGACCATTAAAAAATGTATATTCCTTTAAAAATGTATTTTATTTGTAAAAGATGGAAAACTCTAATGTCTGAACTACACACAGTGTCCATACATGTTTTTCAATAAAAAAAAGTTTTTTAGTTGCGTTTTTTTATTTTTATTTTAGTTTTTGTTGTCATTTTATTAATAAATACAATGCAAAAAAATCAGAACTTGTTTTATCTCCCTAAGCATTTTGTTCTGAGAATGAAATAGTGATTTTTCCTATTCCTCTCAAAGTGTGGACATTGCAGAAAAAGTAAATAAGGGAGCTGTGCTGGGCAGCAGCATGTTAGGATGAGCGATTAACATCAGTGCCAAGCAGTGCTTATTCCCTAGCACCTGAGCTGAATATCTAAACACACAAGTAACCATGAAATAGGAGACGTGCGGACAGGGTCAGGAGAAATCCCTGACAGCAGAATTCTTTCAGTACCAGAGCTGCTGTAGTTAATACTTGCCTAAAGGTCATAAACTGCTTTTTTTTGGGGGGGGGGGGTAATATTACTGAGCTCTTACTTTTTGTGTGGAATAGGTTGAAAGTTTCTTTTGTTTTTCATTAGTGTAGATTTGTGAATATACATGAATATTTGTACAAGCAGAATCTAATTAGACTTTCTGATAGTGAGCTATACGCTATTATACCTAAAATTATTCAATTGATATTTAACTGGTTCTTAATTATAAGTTAAATTTATTATTAACTATTTATTCAGATGTTGTGTTCCAGAATAAAAGTAACAGGAATTAGAAGCAATTCTTTTTTCCTGTGTATTAAGGTATTAGTAATGCAGAAGCACGGCAGCCAGGGAAGGCTCCTAACTTCAGTGTGAACTGGGCGGTGGGAGACCAGTCTCTGGAGGTCATTAACGCAACCACTGGGAAGGACGACATGGGCCGGCCATCACGCCTTTGCAAGCACACCCTCTACAGCCGCTGGATGCGATTGTATTCGAAGGTACAGCTTCCTGATGTCTTCAACTTTTCAGGATAGTCCTCCTCCAAAACATGCATTCACCCAATTAAACTTTGCGCTCACTTTTCCATTAATCAGATGTGGTGTTGTCTTTAAGAGTTTGATTTCACTAATTTGTATTTGACATTTGTCAGTGTGAAATTTTAAATGGAATCCTTGAGAAAATATGCTTGTACATTTGTCTAGATCCCCTCATTCCCTGACGTACCTAAGGACACAGAGGCAAGAACAAAGAAGGGACAACACACAGTGCTTTAGAGCAGTGGTTCTCAAACTTTTTGGACCAAGTACCACCCCTAATCCAACCAAAGCATCCAAGTACCACCTACAGGTCATCATCTCATAGGAACCCCAGCAATTCTCAATGACCAACATGAGCGCATGTGCACACACACTCACACATACATACAATAAATATTATAATAATAAACTTTGTTTGATATATTAAAATGTGGCTTCTCAAAGTGTTTTACAGAAAAAAACAACAACAAATAAAAATACAAAAGCACCATTTCAGTGAGAGGGGTGAGCCTGTTTAGTCGAGCAAAGCAGATGTGAATTAATTTTTCGAGCCTTGATACAATTCACAACAGTCTTAACAGATTTTAAATCGTCAGGCATTTTCTTGACGGCAAAGGTCTCGTGGTGGATGTTGCAATGAAACCATTAATTTCTGGAGCAACCTCTCTAATTCGTGCAACTACACCGCTGTGTCGGCTCGTCATTGCTCTAGCACCGTCTGTACAAACTCCGACACATTTTATCCAGTCAATGCCATTCTCTTCGATACATTCAGAAGTTGAAATACGTGCTCTCCTGTAGTTCCTGTTGGTAGCGGCTTACAGAACAGAAAGTCTTCATAGGACATGCCCTCAAACTCGTATCTAACGTAAACGAGCAAATTGGCCAAATCGACTACAGACTCATCTAATTGAAGTGAAAAACATCTGCTCATCTTAACGCGCTCTGTCAGCGTACTTTTGATATAATCCTTAAATTCAATAATTCTATGAATGACTGTGTCTTTCAGGGGGGACAGCAGGTCGAGCTGTTCAGCAGCTTTTTCTCCACACATAATAGTGTGGGGCTTACCTGCTTTAGCAATCCGCAAGCTTGCATTTTTCCACGTTTCCATTTTTATTTCAGTGTTTATTTTAATTATTTATTTCATCACATGGGAGAGAAACACAGAGACGCTCGGTGTATTTTTCTCAAATTAACTAAGAACAGTTCTTAAATATTTTTCTGTTATTTTTCATGCTTTCCTGTGCTCACAAGATTACCAGCGTTCGTAGCACGCATTTCTATGCATTCCTGTGTTAACAACGTTGGCATTGTTCCAAAATCACGCACATTCTCCTTTCTCCCTATTTGCTGGAGATACAGTAGCTTTTTTTAAATACAATTGGTCACTTGCGTCCGTAGCACGCATTCCTATAGAGTGGTATAGAATTACAGAGTATCTCTTGTGTCCACTGAAGTATTAGCGCGCACTGTATCGTAGTACGTAGGCTGCGTATTCGACACGTATAAAAATACAAAATATGAAAACCCGTCCCGATTTTTTCAGCGCACACAACACAATTCCAGGGTCATTTGGAGTACCACCTGGCGGCACGCCACGTACCACTGCAGGTACGCGTACCACAGTTTGAGAACCACTGCTTTAGAGTTTTTTTATACAGATGCAGCCATTTAAAGTGCATGAGGTGTCATGCAGCAAACCTCAGCAACCACCACATTATGCTGATTATGTTCAAATAATCTGATGTAGGACTGCACCACTCTGTAAAATTGCCAGATGACTCAGTGAATCCTTAATGTACCACAGGGGCTTGTAACTTTCACACATTTTTAAAAATAAAAATTTGATGTTTATGCTAATCATGCTATACTATAATAGTAACAGATTTTGTTTTTAAATTACAGTATACATAATTATTAGAAATTGTGTATGAGCAATAATGATTTTATTTTAGGTCTTGACTTAAAAATATACTGTACATAGTGAATTTAAAAACGTTGTATTTAAAAGCAAATAAGAATGTATTTTTTGCATTGGAGTTGATACATCTCATTACTGTAAAGGTTTTTCTTTAAGGAAACCACACGTTTTCCACAATAACACCTCAATAATTACAACAAAATGTTTTTCATTTATAATATGCAGCGTTCTAGTGTGCTTCTCAGTAATTTGGGGAAATTTTCCTTCAGCAGTTTTTTATTATTTTGTTCATATAATTTCATTTCTAAACATTTGTTTGGTTTCACTTCCTCTGCAAGCTCTATAACATCAGTAATTTTAATTATTTGTTTTGTTAATGACATTCACAGACAATATTAGACTTTAATTTAATTTTAGTTACTTGAATCAGTATTTATATTCCATATTAAGTACTTTTAAAGAAGTAGTAAAACAGATTAAATTAAGGAACTGTTCCACTTCTGATGCACCACAAGTGCCACCTGTTGATCTTCTTTGTCTGGTAAAAAGTTAAATTTCGGCACACTGACACATGGTACTATATGCGGCAGTGTGCTTGCTTGAGACTTTTGCGCATTCTGAATGCCTGCGTCTGTACACTATCCTGTGATTTTTCTCTTGCTTTTTCTCTGCAAATAACAGTTTAGCAGTCTTTCATCGGTTGGAGGTTCATTTTGGAGGGCTTTTGTATGCATTGGTTTACAAACCCTAGTTTGTCTGTCATTCTTTACCATCCTTATATTATAAGAATGTGCTACAAACAGAAATTTAGACTTCTGGAGCAATCTGAATGCATTTTTAATACTTTTTTTTTTCCCCGTTTGTGTGCCATTTCAGCTTTCATCAACTCTGCGAATTAAAGTATCCAAGCCCTCTTCATACCATGAAGCCAAACAAGCTGCTATAGAGTACCACTCTGCAAAGCAAGCTCTCATCAAGGCATTTCAGAAGGCAGGGCTAGGGGCTTGGGTGAAAAAACCCATAGAACAGGACCAGTTCTCTCTCAGCCCCTGATTGGACCAGCAAGAGAGGAAGGAATGGATGGTGGAAAAAATACCAGCTGCTGAGACTTTATGTTCTGTTTGCCTGTGATAAGACTTTCTCTGTTGCTTTCCTATCCTCTCTACCCTTTTAATTTTTTTTATGGTGTCTCGTGTTTCTTTAGTTTTGTTTTAACTTTATGGTTGTTATAATTGCATCTGCGTAACATAAAGTCTTGCCCTTTTTAAACTGGAAACATTTTTTTTTATTTTAGAAAACGAACAGTAACATTTTATAATTAAGAAGTTAAAAAGAGAAAAAAAAAAGAAAAAAGAGCCAGCTGTCTAGATGAATTTGCCTAAAGAGCACGTTTATGCCAAATAGTAGTAGAGCTTGAATTAATTTGACCTCTCAGTTGTGTGTGGAGCTAGGGTAGTGGGTTTTGCTATCCTTTTTTATGTTTACCTCTAATCTAAGAGAACATCTCATTCTGAGCACTGCTGTTTTTCCACACTTAAGCAGAGCTAATATGAGTTTCAGTCTTCAACACAGATTGTATGGAGATACCAAACTGTCATTTTTAACTTAAAAAAATCAAAAAGATCCCTTCAGAGAACTGGGAGAGAGTTTTTGTTCTATAGCAATTTCTTTGGTGATACTAAAAGATTCAGAATTTGTCAGACATTTCTACAACCAGAAAATATTTTACAAGATTTGTGTAATTAAACAGTAAGAACTTTCTTAGAAACACAAACAGGAAGTAATCAAACAGATTAAAAATATGAAACATAAGAAGAAAACATCAAAATTAATGCTTTTGTTTGTGGCACAGTAATAGGAGAGTGAAAGATGTTTACACGTGCAGGTAAATGACACACTAGTTGTATAACCTTTAAAAAGGGACACAGAGGGTTAATGACCCTCTAGTAATGTTCATAAAAGTTTCGCTTTCCAATCAGGATAATTAAATTCTTGTTTTGCTTTCAACCAGTATTCTCTTTGTAGGACAAAAAAGTGCTTTTTAGCCACTGAGCATTTTTAATTAATGATACTTTGGTCTTTTCCCAAGAGCTGAGACATACAGCACAAGTAGTAAGTCTTAAAGCAAATCTAGAAGGAAACTGGTGAAACAAGCTGTTTTTACAGAACAGTCATGTTAAAATCTAAATGTGCCAATTGGTATTCACACTGCCAAAAAAACATACAGAGATTGTGATGTTCTTCATTAACAGCCCATTTTTACAACATTACTGTCCAGCATTTTAGGAGTGTGGATAGGAGTGTCATAACTATGCATTGCACTAATATGTAAAATACTATCATATTGAAAAATTGGGAACAAAAATTAAGTCTCCGTTGCACTTTTCATAGTATCTAAACGATTAAATCAGGTGAAATAAACAGGTACCTTTTGAAGTGCAGACCGAGATCCCTTTTTAGCAGTAAATGTTATAACAGTATAACATTTTTACTAATTAAAAGAAAATATCTGGTATTAATTTTTATATTTTTGACATCATTTTTTGCTTTATTTTTATCACAGCTGGGGTGGTTGAAGGATTTTTAAAAATATTTTGCACGTTTACGATCAAATACAAGCCATCTATCTGCATGGTAAACTTTGTAGTGGGTCTGGGGGTTTAATGTTGTTTGGAGCTCTACATACTCTATACATTTTTGAATTTCAATGCCAGCATTTTTAAAACCAAGCAACTTTTTGCTGTTCTCTGATGTAAATAAAATGCAACTTTTGTTTTCCCTGAATTGTTCCATTACCACTTCTTTTATTGTAAAAACATGTATAAGCTTGTTATTAAGAAGTAATACGAAATGTTGGGCAGGAGTGAACGTGCTGATGTAAATAATATTTTATGCTGCCCTTTTCACAAAGATGTTCCTACAGTATCTGTTTTCATACTAATTTTCAATGGGTACTGCATTACACAGCTCAGCATTTTGTTTTAGCAGTTTTTCCCATTTTTTTGTATTGCTATTAAAAGGCCAATAGATTTTAAGAGATTTAAAAGAAATATTTAAAAAAGGAAATTATGTGGAAACTAAATCCTCAGATCTGGGTTCAGCAAATTTAACCTTTTTTCCTGGGTGACGAGCACAACAGAAATATGGACCAGATAAAAGAAATTCACTGAGATTTGAGGTTTTTCCTCAGAATGCATAGAGCCCTGTGTTGAAGCTGTTTAAATTTTCTTTCTTGACAAAGTGTTCAGTAGAACCAAATCCGGTAATGTAGATAACAACTTGCACACTTTTTATTGTATGTTATGATTCTGGGAATATCCACTTATGAAGAATCTACTGTGTATTTCCATAAAATAAAATCTGTTTGTGAATCATTTCATTCTGAAATGCATTACTTTTAGCTTAAGGTAGGTCATGTTTATGGTAACCCAACCAAACCCTGATGATTTACAAAACTGTAGAAAGAAACCAGTTACATTTCTAACTAACCTGTCAGTCAGCACTTTTTATAGCTATTCATAGAAGATGAACTGTTAGTAGCTCTTCCAAAAGCCAAACCTAAGGATATACAGTATGCATATAAGCTTGTATATGTCTATACTAGCTTATTTTCCTAGAGCTGTCTCTCAGTTGCAAAGCCCTTTATTGTACTGCTTAATTTCTTGTTTCTTCACAGCAGAAAATCTTATCCGTTTGTGTTCCTTTTCCACTACACTGTTTCCTCGTTTTACGAATGTCCGTTTAACAGATTGTTCCATTAACACATTTGAAAAATGATTACCTTTCTGTATGTATAATGAATTTTCACTAAAACCAAAGCATGCCAAGACACACATACAGTATATTCCCAGCCCTTTCCACCATCTTTTGTACAGCCTGCTGTTGTCTGCAGTATTATCTGTTGGCAATGGCAGCCTACTTAGAGCTTGAGCCATTTGTATGAGTTTAATTTCAAAATATCTTGCCCCTATCCTTGGTAAGCTGAAATCTCAGACATTAACTTTTACCAGTGAGCGAATCATCTGTCAATGCTGAATAGGACCACTTTGTTTTCACAATATGTTTGGCCCATTTTTCCTTTATACTGTGTTTTACTTAGTACTGTTTAATGTAATAAATACTTATGTACAATATTCTGCATTTGTACATTTTTAGTATCATAAATATGTTTTGACTCAGGTCATTTATCTCTTATTATGGCCTTTACTTAAAGGTAAATTTATTTTTGTTTAACAAATGTTAGCTTTCGAGTAACAAAGATCTCGAAAGAACTTTCGTAAAACGAGGAGTAGGTTTATTTTGATGTTGAATTCCTGTTTGCTCCCCCCTGCCCTCCAAAAAAGCCTGGCACCATTTCTATTATTTAAATTTTTCTTTAAATTAAAAATAAACAGTAAATTGCTTTCAAACGAGACCCAGTGTTTGATAGTGCTTAACAATCTGGACATGTGCAATTAAGAAATGATTTCCACAAACCGCTACACCAAAAAGAGAATCAACATCCATTTTGTTTGCTCATTCTTTGTAATCTAATTCACGCTGTTTTTAATTAAACAGAAGTGGTATTTAACTGTGAAAACTTGTTCAACTACAAAACCACCACAAGCACATTCCATACAGCAGTGCGATCTGTTCTGGTATAGGGGAGTTTTGTCACCTAGTGCAAAGCTTAGAAAATCCTAAATTGTGGTGAGGAAAGATATGTTGTTGCTGCCAGACACACAGAGAAAATAAATAATTGATGTATGTATTTATTTGTGCAATTTAGACTGAGCCGTTTCTCACCCTGACTTTTGCTGCAGTATGTAGAGCTGGAGTTCACTGTAGTGGCTGTTGTACTTTAGAAGCACTCTTCAAAATCACTCCAGCATCTCTGGATGTCAGCTGTGGTAGCTCGACCAAAGATATGGTACCTGTGTTCTTAACTTTCTTTGGAACTTAAAATTGGATGTTTCTTATGAATGGCATGACAACAGGATGTCTTCATAGAGTGGGTGGGCTCTGGGTATAGTGTCTTTTATTCATTGTTTTTTCTTCTACTTTACATCTACTAATGTATGATTTTTTTTTAGGATTTTGTACAAATAAACCTTTAGTGTATAAGTTTTCTTCCAGCTTTGAAGTCAGATAAAACTCCTGTTAAGTTACTCCATTTAATTCTGTGAATGTTGATTCAAAGATGTATATATTGTGAACTTATCTGATGTTGTTCTCTCAAAAAGAGGAGATTCTACATGTTTTACAAATGTTGGTAACTTTAAAAGAATATCAAGAAAAAAAGCTCTCCAAAACACAATTCCATGTTCAGACAAATAAGATATATTTATTGAATATTGACATATGTTTAAAATATCTAATATTTTTATGATTAGATGCAGCTGTGATGTGTCTGAGGGTAATTTTTTGCTGCTGTGTTCTAAACTATATGTATAGTATCAAGGTAATTGGAATAAACTCAATGAGCTCATGTCATTGATCCCAACTTGGTGCTGAACAGAGCAAATGTTTGAAATTCAGCTTCTTCTGGGTTTATTTTTGATATCTCTGAAATGTAGATTTGTTTATGGTAATATAAAGTATATGATTCTTGTAATGTGTTTGAAAAACATATAGTAGTAGCAAAACATTGTAATGAGTGGAAAAATGAATGATTACCTCAGTGTTTTTTTTCTGTAGTTGCCAAATGTTAAATTACATTGACTCGTGACTTAGGTGACTTTAAACACTTACATTTGCAGAAATGATGAAGCAGAAAGGGCTAAGAGGCTCAACAGCTAATTTGCTGACATCCCTGCATTTTCCCTTGTGGAGACGTAATCACAAGTGAAATCGGCTTCGTTTTCCTATTTGAGGAAATCCATTCACATCTAATGAATAAATGTAAAAGAACTGTTGGAGGAGCAATGTCAAAAAGAAACCCAGATTTCATTTCTTAACGCATACCATATAGGGAGAAAATTCAATGGAACCAATATGAATGTGATGAAAATCATAACAGTCTACTTTCTTGGGAGGAGAATGCGCGTGTTTTTATGCCAGTGGTTCAATCCTGGTTTGCCTTCTGACTTGTTTTGTGTTTTGGCGACTCTCCGACAGCCCAGCACGCCTGTACTGGGCTCCTGCACTGCTACATTCCACTGTGGTCTCTGTAACATACAGTACATCAGCAACCTGCATGAGCTCCTACACTGAAGCTGCACCCAGCATGAAAAAAAAACGTACATGTAGAAAATGGAAAATAGATCTTTAAAAGGAAAAAATAAATAAGAAATTAGTTTACTTCTGTATGTCTGTCTGCTTTTTTTCATGTCAAGTATTGCTTAAGTGTGGGTGTTATTATAACCTTTAAGTCATTATTATGCTCAAATTCAAATTTCATGGGAAATTATGCATACTTTTTTGCAGCCAGGAGCAAGGTTCGTCTTTTTTTATCTTCAGACAAAGTAAAGGGGAATAAAATGTACGGTGAATGAAAAAGTTACCTGCCACTTAAAAACTGCAAAATTTTAAACAGTTATGAGGGGAAATTGATTATCATCAATTTGTATAAAGTGTACTGACGTTTTATTCAACAGATATCAGATCTGATATAACAGATACAGTACATTCATTATGTTGATTAACATTGATCATGAACAGGGATTAGGGACATTTGTCTCAGGCTAGAATACTGCGTGGCCAATGTTGAAGCAATTAAAAGATTTACTTCTGCGATGTGTGGTTTATATGAAGTGGTATTGTGAGATCTTAGATATTCCTATTATAGACCTAGGGGTTTATACTGGTCTCTGATCCCTAGATGCCACACATTGTTACAGTGCAAGTAACAAATGTTCTGTGGGGCTCAGGTCAAGATGCATTCTCATCTTGCACAAAAGCTGTTGTTACTGTACATGAAAAGAACCGAGGACATGTGTCATACTGGAATATTATTACTGTTGTTCAAATCCCATTTATGTTCGGTCTCCCATTCCTCAGGTAGGTTAACCCCAGGATTAGCAGGGGCCAGAATAGAAATTGCACAATCTCCAGGCTATGGAGATTCTATCTGCTGAGCAGATGTATTTTACCTAACGCACTGCTTTGGAGACCACATACTGTATTTTTGTCGTTTCAACCACTCAGGAGAGCGCTGTGCTTGCAGCCTCAGAAAACGGAAGTAATTTAGACCCTAAAGACTCTTTACAGCACTCTGCTCGTCAAGAAATCAAAGGTGGTAAATGGTGTTATTTTACCATTTCCTAGGAGCTTTCTGAAGTACATATCAGTATGTTAGTGTTGCACAGATGACATTATTGGATTTAGGTATTTTCAAAACCCAAGAATGAGATGGTCTAGTAATCACATTTATTTTCATTGTGGTTTGTTTTAAGGGGGGAAGGAAGTCATTTGTTTCTGCTGGAGGATACAAATTTATTAACAATCTTTTTTCATTGCTGATATAAATTGTTCCCTTGCAAACTTGGGGCAGTAGTCATTTAGAAAGGAAAAAAAGGCTTTCCTTTAATATCCCACACTGAAGGTAAAATTCAATACATGAGCAAGTGGCTAAAGGGGTAAGCAGAAGAGAACTGAGCACCAGAATTATGATGAGATAATTTAAAGTAAAATCAAAAGAATATACTGTATAATCTCTAGTGCAAAATTACTAATCAAAGTACAAATAACAAATATTGTCATCTGAGGACAAGAATGAAGGCTGGAGAAGTCTTGGTTAAAGTGCTTGGGGGACATGGCCTCTGCTTCTTGTACTGATGGTTTATTGTGGAGGTTACATTACACAAGATTTTGAAATCAAAGCTCTCATGGGTGACAGCTTTGGATTTAATGCTGATGAAAGCATTACAGTAACTTAAAAATGACATTGCAAGCAAACTAAGACTATTTCAGTTCTACAAGAAAGTACAGTAAGAGAAACGCTTAAATTTTCCATTTAATATAAAACTAAAAATCTGGATTATTTCTAATCAATTGAAATACTTCTGAAGTATATATTTTTAAACAATCTACAGAAATTGACACCTTTGCAACAAAAGATTTTTGTAATGTTTTGTCTTAATTCAAAAAGCCTTGCAATTAACTGCGATCCTTATACAGTATATCACATTATTGTATAGAATACTACTATATACTATAGTACTGTATATACTACTATATAATAATTATATATAAAACAAACATAAAAACTACTTTGAGCTCTATTATATATTGATAGATATACAGTAAACACATGTAGAGAGAGAACAAAAAAGAGGAAAAGTGGGATGCTTATGTCTGGATTGGGAGAGATAAGGGTGTTTTAATTGAGACCCAGCCTGCATGAGACAGTGTACAGTGTTTTCCTCTTTGCAATGTTTGTTACAGTGTGTGTTTT